TTGTAGATTCTATCCAATTATCTATACTAATAAAAGGGTAATATGATAACTAGACGGGGTCAACTGGCCATCTTCCCGACGTCCGACTTCCTTCTGGACAAAGCCATGGTGGTGGGGGCTGAGGCAGAGGCAGTTAGGGACGATCAGCTGGCAGGGGAGGGCACGAATTTTGTGCACAGGGCCACTAGTTGCTTTATAATTTTCTTTTTTTAAATCCTCACCCTAGGATACTTTTTCCATTGATTTTTTATTTTTATGTTTTCCTCCATTGATTTTTAGAGAGTGGAAGGGAGAGGGAGAGCCAGAGAGAAACATCAATGTGAGAGAGACACATTGATTGGTTGCCTCCTGCACTCACCCCTACCGGTTTGGAGATCAATTCTGGAACCAAGGTACATGCCCTTGACCAGAATTGAACCCGAGACACTTCAGTCCACAGGCTGAAGCTCTAACCACTGAGGAAACTGGCTAGGGCTGCTTTATAATTTTCAAAATATGAAAACTTTATTTGCTATGTTAAACAGTTATATTTCTTTTTTCTTGGTTTATATATACAGATGTACATACATGTATATTTTGCTGAATATAACTTTATATCTATTGCCAATTGCAAAATTACTTCTCTTACCTAAAGAATGTCAAAACCGGTTGTATTATTTTTTGAGGAGAGATGCTGGTGGCTTGGGCCAGGGTGATGGTGGGTGTGGAGAAAACAATGAGAAGGGGTCAGATTCTAGAGATATTCTGAAGGCAGAAAAACTTGAAGGATTTTCTAGTTGACCAGATGGGCAGTATGAGAGAAAGAGGGGGAGAGATTAAGAAGATAAACTGTCCTAGTGTGTTAATGGTAATATATTTTTGTCACTAACAAGAATGAAGAATATCAGGTGATACCATTAATTTGTCTGTGACTCATTCAGCAATGATTATCTAGTGTCTTCTCAGTGCCCTAGGTGCTAGAGACAGATCAGTGAACAAGATGGGAAGAAATCCCAGCTCTCAAGGAGCTTACATTATAGAGGGCAGAAAATGTACACATACACACACACACACACAATGTCAGGTGGCAATAAGTGCTAAGGGTCGGGGCACAGGGAGGATAGAGAATGCCAGGGGAATGCATATATAGTCAGTTCTCAGAATCCTTTATTCTGTGGGATTTATTCCTATGTCCATTTCTTTTTAGCAGCCTGATACTGAGAAGTGCACTTATTTTTTTCCATTTGACTACCAATAAAATACAATAGGGGTTCCATACTTAGTGTTTCTGGATTCTTCAGAGTATTAGAAAAGAACTAAGCATGGTGCCCTGGGTAAGGGGAGTGCCCTTGAGCATTTTGACGGTGTTCCCCACAGGAATAACAGAGAATGTTTGAATAGTGAGTAGTAAACTGTACTTCATTACATACACAGTAGCCATTGCAGGCATTAGGGTTTAGACACCTACTCAGCATCACCTCTGTTTAACCTACTCAGGTTGTCCTCATTAGGGCTTTTCACTTAGAACACCATTATAGCAATCATATACTGTATTTTTAGCATCTTATATAAACTTCCCCACAAATGCCCAAGTTATATAACACCCTCCCCCCCTCCCCCCAAGGCTTTCCTCCAGCTTCTCACAGATTTACAGTGGGGGCAAGGAGGGGTGTGTGTGTGTGTGTGTGTGTGTGTGTGTGTGTGTGTGTTAGGGGGAATCCCTGTCCAGTAACTGAACACGTTCATGTCTGAGAGATGGGTGCCCCCCTCGTCTGGATAGGGCTGGGTGTGCACCAACACAGTGTGCTTCCTGATACCCTCCTCTTCTCTTCCCAGCCTTCACCTTCTGCTGTTACAGTCTCATCAGGGATCATGTTGCTGTGCTCCCGAGTCTGGGAGACTCTCTGCCTCCTCTCATTGTGTTCATACAAACCCCTAGGGCTTGGCTCCAGAGGCAGAGCACCTGAGAGTTCCAGTTCCCTCATTTTTGCTCAGGTGACTTCCCCGCAGGTATAGAGGCAGAGACACATCAATCCCAAGTCCCTGGATTCCCTCTCCAGCAGGACTTCTATTATTAACCCAGCAGCCTCTCTGGGCTCCGTGTTCTCAGGTATAATATAAACGAGGGGTGTGAGAGGTGGTCTCTAAAGCCCCTTCCATCTGCGCATGATGTATAGATATGCTACTGGATATGGACTGATTATATCACACTTGGGATCTTACTGTTTTCTGTGCAGACTAGAATTTTACCAAATTGAATCAGGAAGCGGATATTAATTTTGCTTGGCTCTTTAAAGCTTAAATTCAGTCTTTAAATACACGTCTTCAGCTAGTCGGTGCTCAAGGAGAGCACTAAGCTACGTTACTCTTTCGTAGGAGTTTAACTCAGGAAAAGTCTCCTTCTGGCGTGGCAGTGGGGAGGGCAGGGCTACGCAGGCTGTGATGGTGATAAGCATTTTCCAAATTAGGAAACAGATATGCTTTTCTTCTTACTCTCTTACATAACTGATCTATTTTAGAAGACAACACTAAAATTAAAACTGCAATGAAATACAAATCCCATGATTTTACTACTTTGTGAGAAAAGAACAAGTCAGTCACGCTCAGAGGAAAACAGGGGAGAAAGAGCTCCCCCCCCCCCCCCTTCCTCCTCCTGCCCTGGGGGCTGTTTCACAGGCTTCTCCCTTCTCCATGGCAGCCTGCTGGGTGACTCAGAGACCAAAGTCCGAATTTTAGAAAATGAATCGAGAGAGACTCCTTTTCCTCTCCTCTGAATTTAAACAGCAGTCGCATCGCAGTGCGTGTCCTCTTTGGCGGCACAGAATGACAGGAGAGTGAACTGCCATCGAACCAGTGATTGTTTTGCCCCAGACTTCCGGATTCAGAGGGAAACTGCAGCACACACAGGCCACAGAGGCAGTACAGCCTCTTACATAAATAAGTTACATAAATGAGAACCAGTTATGTAAATGTATAAACCAGCAAACATGATTTATAACCATTCACAAGCACCAAGGAGAGCCCGGCAAGATTCCTCCTCTCGTCCCATTTCCCCCCTCTCCCATGATCATGATTTGTATGTGATACAATTTTATTTCACACCAGAATCAGATGTGGTTGTCACATTTACTAGAGAAAGACACCCCAAAGGACACATTCTTTTTTTTTGAACCGTACCTTGGGAAATTCCTCAATAAAACCTGATGCGAACTATATTTTGATAAGATATGCATGTTCATCAGTTTATACTTCTGGTGTAATTTGCCATGAACACGCGGAGTATTTCCTGTTGCACATTTGGCAAGTTGCTGTTAAGGACAATAATGATGACAAAAGTCAATGTTTTTGTGCCTATGGAGACTTGTTGTGCCAGTTATGATTTCAAGTCTCAAAGGGGTATGTGGGTGTCTGGCTAAAGTCAGTCTTTCCCTTCTTGAAGCCAGGGGGTCCTTTAGGGGGTTAGAATTAGACTCAAGCTTATGTTCATGAATTAATCCCACTACTCCCCACCTGAAATGAGGAGGAGTTGCTCCGGCGTCTTAGCTGTAATTTGCTTCGTGTGATGTGAGTCACAAACTTGTTTGCCTCTGCACCCTGTGGGAACCAGAGCCTCAGTTGTTCCTAGTTAGCTTTCCCGGTTCCTTTTGGGGAAACAGAGCTATATCCTCTCTGAAGTAAACACATATAACTCAGAGCAGTTTTGAGCACCAACAGCCTGTTCTGTATAGAGAGGGATGTGAAGCGTTAGCCAGTTTCAGACATAACATGCTCAGGCTAACATTCCATCTTAAGTAGCTTCTTTTGAAAATCTCATGTAAAATATTTCTAAGATCTAACATAGGAACATAATAGTGAAACCAGAGTTAGGTGATCTTAAGAACTTCCGTATAACACTAGCTGTGTGATTTTAAGCAAATAACTATTCCTCTCTGGGCCATTATTTCTAACCATTTGAAAAAGTTCTAAGTCACTTTCAGCATGAACAATCTAGTACCCTTTAATTAAGTCTATAAATATTTCAACCTAGAGCTTTAAACTCGCTGCCAGCAGTTAAGAAAAATAACCCATTGCACAAAAATATATATTTATATCTATTTTATCTATCAGCAAAACTGCAGACCCTGCTTGGGTTGCAGTGATATGGTGACAGCCATGTGGAAAGCATTGATCCTGGCGCTCTCTCTTTAAAACCCCCCCAATATAGCCTTTAGCCAGCTCTGAGCAGTTAATGAGAAGCGGAGAGTACAGCTGACACCTCGGGAACCTGTGGGCTTCCTCCCTGGCAGCGGGAGTTCATTTTAAAGGGGAAAGGCAGCCATAACTGGCACCAGGGGAAATTGCCTTGGCCTCTGGAAGGAGTCACCCCAGGAACGTGGCTGGGTCACGAAGTCATCGGACTGCCTTTGTGCAGTCCTAGGCCCTCTGCCTCTACGTGTCCATCTGTCCCTTGGGCATAAACCAGTGACAATGCAGCCTTGCACCCGACAACCTGGACACGACACTGGGAGGCCCCGCGGGCCAAAGAGGGAACGGGTCCTTACTCGGGTGGGCGGGTACGTCCGGGGAGGGATGGCGATTTGGGGCGCAGTCCCTCCCACAGGGCCGGCCACCCGGCCGACGGGCGCTCCGGAAGCCGAAGCAGGAATTCGGAGATCGGCCCGGGCGGGCGAGGGGCGCCCGGCGGGGAGGCGAGGGGCGCCCGGCGGGGAGGCGAGGGGGATGGAGACCCGGGCTCCCTGGAGCTTTGTTCAGTGACAAGCCAGGCCCCTCTTTCGGGAAAAGCCAATGAGATCCCGGCTGGGGCATCATCTGACCTCGCGCGCTCCGCCAGGAGGGGCTCCGCCAGGGGCGGGGCCAGCCGGTCGGCCCCGGGGGACCCGGCCCCGGGCGGTGCGGGGGAGTCCCGCGCGCACTGGCAGCGCCGGCCCCGCCCGCGCCCGCAGGCCCCGCCCCTGGGGCTTCCCGGGCGCGCGCCGCCCGCCGGGTCCGCGCGCCACGCCCCCCTGCTCGCCGGCCGCGTGCGGAGCCGCGCGCCCCGCAGGCTCCGGGACGGTGGCGGCAGTTGGCGGCGGCGGCGGCGCAGCCCTCCGCGGGCCATGTCTTTCCCGGCCGTGGCGAGGAGCTCCTCGAGAGGGAACCGGGAGATGGCGCCCCGGCCGCGGAGCCGGGGCCGGTTCTGGGAAGGGGGCGGCGGCAGCGGGGACCGGCTGGAGCGCGCGGCCGCCGAGTCGGAGCGCTGGGAGCTGCTGCTCCGCCGGGGCGAGCTGCTGGCCCTGGGCGGCCACCTGAAGGGAGCGCTGGAGGCGTACGCGGCGGCGCTGCGGCGCGGGGCCCCGGTCCGGCCCGAGTGCCTGGGCACCCTGGTGGACTGCCTGGTGCTCAACTACCGGCTCCGCCACGGGCTGGGCTGGAGCGCCGCGCGGGCGGCGGACGCGGGCGCGGGCGGGCTGCTGAGCTGCCTGGGCTGCCGGGGCTTCCTGAGCGAGCCGGTGACCGTGCCCTGCGGCCACAGTTACTGCCGCCGCTGCCTGCGGAGGGAGCTGCGCGCCCGCTGCCGCCTCTGCCGGGACCGGCTGCCGCCCGCCGCCGCCGCCGCCGCGGATGCTGAGGGCACCCCCCCGCGGCCGCCGCCTCTGGCCGCCGCCATCGCCGCCTCGGGCTTCCGAACCAGCGTCGTCCTCAACCACCTGGCGGAGAAGTGGTTCCCGAGCCAGCAGGAGCGAGCGCGGGCGGCCGGCCGGCTCGGGGAGCTGCTGCATCAGGGGCGCCACCGGGAGGCCCTGGCCGCCGCCGGCGAGGCGCTGCGAGCAGGTGACGGCGCGGGGAGGCACGGGCCCGGCCGACCCCACCCTCCTTCCCCGACGGGCTGGCTCCCGGGAGCTCGTCTGCGCCCCCGGGAGGCGCCTCGGCTTCCGCGAGGCCTCCCGACTCCCCGGTGGCGGGTCTCGGGGTCCCCGCGGGTGTGGGAGGGGGCGGCGCCCGGAGGTGCTTTGGTCACAATGGGGATCGCCCTCGGAACCGACTGTGACGCGGCGTGGGGAGGGGCGCACGGGCGCGGGGTTCCCTTGGCCGCGGCCCGGCGCCGGGGCGTGCGCGTCCCGGGAGAGGCGGGGGCGGGGGCCGGGGCCAGGCCGCCGGGATCGGGTTGGGGAGGGGGGCGGCCGGGCGGCCCTTCTCTTCCTGCCGCCGCGCTCTTTCCGGGAATTGGCCGCTCGGCCCCGCGGGACCCGTCGCGGGGAGACGGCGGCCGGGGCGGGGAGAGGATCCCCAGCGGAGGCCGGGCGGGCAGCGTTTACCTTGGTCTCCCACAAAAGTCACCGGGGCAATTGGAAGCCGCGGGAGGGCAGAATTGCATAAGCTGGGGGGTGGCGTTGTGTAACGGGTGACGTCCGGTGGGCGTGGCGGAGCCCGGCGCCCGCACCGACTTCGGGGGTCCGCGGGCTCCGCGCGGGTGTCCGAGCGCCCAGGGGTGCTGCGGTGTGACCCGAAAATGCCTGCGGGATGGGTTTCTGGCGGCGGTTTCCACCTGCCTATTTCAGATCATACTCATTCCTCGAACACTTTGGAGCACACCTAGTTCAGGGTCAAGATAGAGAGGTAGTTTCCTGGAGTTCTTTGTCAGGCTCCTGTTCGCTTTTCTGCTCTTGATCGGCTGTGGGGAACGGCCTTCGGGGCCTTTGTCTGTTTCTTCTCCGAGAAGCAGCTCCGGCCTCGCAAGTTAGGTTAGCACTTTTCTTACGGCGATTTTGGGCTGCGGAAGGGGACATTGCCTGACTGATCCGGGTGCGATATAGAGTTGTTCTGTCAATCGGTGGTTCTCTACCAGGGAGATCTTACACGCGCCCTCCCCTCCTACTCCCCCCCCCCGCCCCCATTATCTGGAGACATTTTTAGTTGCCACCCCTTATGGGATTAGTGTTGATACATCTAGCTGGGGATGCTGCTAAACACCCTACCATGCACAGGACAGCCGCCCACACAATAATCAGGCCCCAAATGTCAAGCGTGTCATTGTTAAACCTCGTGTTAAATAAGCCTATTTCTAGCTTAGCATCTGTATTTGCATGAAATAATACGCGGGGGGACAATCCCTAAGAAAATAGATGTCTAAAATAGAAACTGATGTTAGGTAATAGGCAAATTCATAAACTACCGTTTCAAGTATTTTGTTATGGTTCTTTTACCCAAGTGCTTTGTCATTTGGAACTAGTAGCAATATCTGAAGTTATTTAATACCTTTGGAGTTCAAAGCACAAACCTGGTACATTTTCATATACTAGTACTTTCACTTTTTTACATTTTTTTTATTTTTATGGGGAGCAGGCAGTTATAAAATAGAACAGAATGGCAGATCCAGCGCAAAAGAACGGTTTGGTACTCAAAATTCTGATAGGGACAACTCCGCCTCTGGATGGTTAGTGTATGAGAGGGGAAGCACACACCATCCAGGCCACATCCTGATGTTAAAAACAGGCAGAAGCTAGGGCAGTGAAATGCCTTGTCCGCAGTCCGCAAACAGCTGACTGGGTGTAGAGGCAACAACACTATATCCTCCAGTTCTAAATGTGGGACCAGGGTTCATCTTAGATTGTAGCTCATCTAACGAAAATGTTTAATATACATTTCTAAGGAGTTTTTGTCACTAGTATAAAATAGTGGATGAAACTTATTGTCAGTTCTATCCAGTATTATGATTTCATGATTGGACCTCTTATATGAGGTGTTTCATAAGAATTTAGGCCCTACTCCATGGAAGAACAGTGAGACCTTTACTAATTAAGGTCTAGCTTAATGTTCTGTGACCAGTAATCTTTTAATTAAGGGTAGTAATCTTTTAATTAACCTTGAATTGAGGGCATTTAAAAAAGTTTTATTGATTTTAGAGAAAGAGAAAGGGAGAGAGAAACATCGATTTGTTGTTCCGCTTATTTATGCATTCATTGGTTGATTCTTGTATGTGCCTTGACGGGAGATTTGAACCTGCAACTTGGTGATTAGCAGTGGTTCTCAACCTGTGGGTCACGACCCCTTTGGGGGTTGAATGACCCTTTCACAGGGGTCTCCTAAGACCATCGGAAAACACATATATAATTACATATTGTTTTTGTGATTAATCACTATGCTTTAATTATGTTCAATTTGTAACAGTGACATTGGGGGTCACCACAACATGAGGAACTGTATTAAAGGGTCGCGGCGTTAGGAAGGTTGAGAACCACTGGTGTATAGGGATGATGCTCTAGTAATCTAAGCGACCCAGCCATGGCCTAGGGTAATTTTTTTCTTTAACCGAAATAGACTCTGAAAGATCTACTTTCTTTTTTTCCAATTTGCATAGATTGCACATGGGAATTTTGCCTATTCAACTACTTAATCCTACTTTTTTGTGACTAGAACCCAAGTTCCTGACTTTCACTTTACTAGCCTATTTTCCCCTCATTTTTAGGTCTTTCAAAGAGCATCAATTCCTTACTTGAAAATATGTCTGAATGAGACTAAGGAGAATAACCTTTTTTATCCTTTGAATTTTTAGTGGTAAAATATGTGTTTAACAGTTTGTGCGCATAAGTGAAAATATTTAGAGTTATAAATCTATTTGTACAGTTAGGCTTAACTTTTCTGAGAGTTGGTTAGTTAGCTAGATATGCATTTGGAATGTATTTATATAATTGTACTATAGTCACTAATGATACGGTCATTGTTGACAATGAAAAAGAGCCACTATAATTCCTTAATGTAATTCTTATAATGAAACAAGTAACTACTATTAAATAGAAAAAAATAATCTAGTCTACAGTTAGCCCACACATTGAAATTTATCTGTCAACAAGAAAGGAAAGCTTGAAAACCTTTGCCAAAATCTGAAGTTTCCCATTGAGATTACATAAGTTTCTGTTGAATTGAAATATATTTAGATAACAATCCATTGATCTTCTGATATTAACTCTCAGATGTTTCATAACTTCTGTCTTTTTAGTATTCAAGGCTATTATATAAAAAGTCTTGTCTGCATTGAATCTTTATACTTGAGTATATTGAAATGATGCCATTTTGATATGCTTGTCTTCCTTTTAATTTTAATGAATTTTTATAGGCTTGCCTCCTCCCTTTGTATTATAATTTACGGTTTGAATTGTTTAAGTAATAATAATAGTAAAGGGCAGAACACTTTATTTTAAAATACTTGGAGAAGGAAATTTTTGTCTTTAGTATAGTTTCTGTTTATATAGTCCTTGACTATTAAAGTGTTTTTAGATTCTTTCCAGTATCTGATCTTCACAAAGAATCTTGTAGAGTACTATTGTCCTCAGAAGGAAATTATGGCACCTCAAGCCAGAGATTCAGTGTGGGCTGGTGGTTAAAGCTGGGCATGCTGGGAGCCGACTGTCTTGGTGTGAATTCCAGGCAGCCCTCCACTTACTCTCTGACCTTGGGCCTGTGGTCTAAACACCCTGTTCTGAAAAGTGAGAATAGTATCCACCTCATAGATCAGCGGTTCTCAACCTGTGGGTCGAGACCCCTTTGGGGGTCGAACGACCCTTTCACAGGGGTCGCCTAAGACCATCCTGCATATCAGATATTTACATTACGATTCATAACAGTAGCAACATTACAGTTATGAAGTAGCAACGAAAATAATTTTATGGTTGGGTCACAACATGAGGAACTGTATTTAAAGGGTCGTGGCATTAGGAAGGTTGAGAACCACTGTCATAGATAGATAGCAATAACAACCACCACCTAGGTCTGCTGTGAGAATTGAGTCAAAACCTGTAAAGCACTCTGAATGATGCTTGACAGAGTAAATACCCAGAAAACAATTAAAATATAGTATTTTCACAAATGTAAAAGTTGTGCTACAGCTACCAGATGATTTAACTAAAATTGAAATCTAAATCTTGTGATGCCAAGTCTTGTTCTTTTCTGTATCACATCAATAGATTACCAGAGTGAGGGTTAAATCCTGATTCTGGCTTGCATATATGTTAATTAGTGGTAACATTTTAGCCTACATCAATAAAATATAGATACTGCAAGGCTTTAGGTAACAAAGATTAGACAAATTATCTGAATACATTTAAAGAACATGTAAAGGGTTTTAATATCTTAATCAAGGAGGTTAATGTGAGGAGATTTGAGTTTTTATTTTTTGGTGTGTGTTTTTTGTTAATCCTCACCCAAGGGTATTTTTTCTTTCTCCCATGCTTTTCTGAGAGAGTAGAAGGGTGGAGGGAAGGTTGGAGGGGAGGGAAAGAAGGGAGAGAAACCTTGATGTGAGAGAGCACATAAATTGGTTGCCTCCTGCACCGGCCAGGCCCGGAGATTGAACCTGCAACCCAGGTACGTGCCCTTGACTGGGAATCAAACCCGAGACCCTTCAGGGCTTGGGCCGATGCTCTAACCACTGAGAACACCGGACAGTGCAAGATTTGAATTTAATTAGTAAACTTACACATGTTATAATGTTACAAAGGGCTTGAAACATTGTATCAAGAGCTAATCTTATTTTTCTATCAACTTTTGAAATATTTTGTAATATTAACAATCACTATTATTTATTGAGCACTTGTGTGCTAGACTGTGTCTTAACTGTTTGTTATTTTAATCCTCACCCGAGGATATTTTTCCGTTGATTTTTAGAGAGAGTGGAAGAGAGAGGGAAAGACAGAGAAATATTGATGTGAGAGAAACACATTGATTGGTTGCCTCCTGCAGGAGCGTGACCAGGGCCTGGGCCCTGGAGGAGCCTGCAGCCGAGTATGTGTCCTTGACCGGAACTGAACCCAGGACTCTTCGGTCCGCAGGCCAAACCGGCTAGGGTGACAGTGCCTTAACTGTTTACACGCATTGTCTTGTTTAGTCGTCACAGCAGTCTTAAGTTGGGGTATCACCAGCATCCTGTAGGTGAGGAGACTGAGGTTCTGAGCGTTAGGTAAACTTCCGGAATGTTTCTGAACACAGACCTTCTGAATCCCCTGCTTATAATCTTAATATGCCAAACTGCTCTTCTTGGACTTCGTTAATCAGTCACACTAGTAACTTGTCAATTGATGTCTTCTGGTTTAACTGTGATAAACAAGTACTCCATATTGAACTTGATAAAGTAAAAGAAGCAAAGAAGTTTGGTATTTTGGTTTGCCATTAAACTTTGTGAAATAGCTCAATAAGTCAAAGAAAAATGAGACAAAGAATGAGAAAAAGGATATGAACGAGGAATTTTTACACTTACACATGCAGTCTAAGGATGTGTAAATATGTAGTTTTAAAGGTCAAACTCACTGAAGAAAGAAATGCATGTTAAAATAATGCTGTTTTTCATGTGTATTTTTCTAGGAAACAAAAAACACAGTTTGTGGAAGTGTAACCTAAGTAAAGTTTTTATAAAAGGGCTAGAATATATTGAAAATTCTGTATAGCTACATAACTTTTCTACATAGTCATTCAGCTTTATAAAAACAACTAAGGAAATAAGCAGATATATAAAAAGGCATATAGATAGGTGTTTATGCTACTACTTTTTATATTAGCAAAAATTGGAAGTAAAAAATTGAAGAGCGCCGAAACCGGCTTGGCTCAGTGGATAGAGCGTCGGCCTGCGGACTGAAAGGTCCCAGGTTCGATTCCGGTCAAGGGCATGTACCTGGGTTGCGGGCACATCCCCAGTGGGGGGTGTGCAGGAGGCAGCTGATCAATGTTTCTCTCTCATCGATGCTTCTAACTATCTATCCCTCTCCCTTCCTCTCTGTAAAAAATCAATAAAATATATTTAAAAAAAAAAAAAATTGAAGAGCAGGGAATTTTTAAGATTGTGTATAGAGTAGACTACTTTGCAACCATTAAAAATCATGTTGACTTAATTACATTGACAAAAAAGCAAGCTTTAAACAGTATATGGGGTATATTTTATAAAACTACATAAAAATGTAATCTATAAACACAGAAAAAGTACAGGTTCAATCTATGCCAATACTGGTTATTTCTTTGTGGTGGGAAAAATATTTTTAATTCTTAATTTTCTATATTTTTCAAATTTTATAAGTAAACAATAACATACTTTGGAAAAAAAAGTTTGTTTCTTGAAAATGAGCTAAGGAAACGACATATTAGTAACCACACATATTTCTCCGATTGGAAAAAGATAGGGAATCATGACAGGAGAGCTCTGTCCTCAGCCCACGAACGCCTTGAGCAGCCTAAGACTAGTTTCCCCAGGTGAACAGCAGAATTTCAGTTCATTTGTTTATTTGCCTAACAATTAACAATATTATTGGGCCTAGGCCAGGAGAAGAGAAAGAGATGATGAACTGTGGGCCGATTCTAATGAATTTCTCCTATTTTTGTAAGCATTTAGGAAAGCCAGGACTTGAGGATACAAAGTCAGGAAATGATGGAGAAAGCACAAAAAATAGATTTTAAAATTAATGCTATGCACATACGGTGAAGGAACGCAGTCATAATAGAACACTTGCTGGTGCTGTAGTGTGCCCTGGGCTAAGTATTAGTATGTATTATATGCTTCAGCCGGTCAGAGGCCTCAGTAAGTGCATTGGCTCTTTTTTTAGAATTAAGAAGAGGCGGCCCTGATCTCAAAAATTACTGAATTTGAACTCAGCTGATACTTTTCTCCCTAATAGATTCACCCAATATAATCATCTAATATTTGAAGTTCTCAATAAAACATTACCTATGTAGAATTGGGGAGCAAGAGCTGTAATATCTGGCCCCCTTGTCATCTCTTAGACTCATAATCTGAGTGTTTTGTGTTGAGGGAAGAGGGGACAGGCTTTTTGCTTTGGTCAGAGTGGAGCAATTTGATAGGTTGACTGGATTTTCTCAAAGACAGATCTTCTCAGTCACTTCCTCCAGTGCTGTCCTGGTGACAGCTGAGCAGTGAAGGCATTGACGAACGGGTGTGATATTCACTACTTCTGAATGTGCATTAAGTATGAGGCGATGGGGACTCGCTGTACAAGAAAAAAAAAAGGGGGACATTTTTAAAAAATCCCAGTAAGGGATCCAGGAGTGGAACGGGCTGCTTGTTGCCACAGTGAAGTCCCTCTCTGGTGCTGAGCGGAGGCGGGCCTCAAGGATGCCGTTGGAAGCACCCCAGCTGTGGGCGGGAAGCGCACGTCCTGGCGCAGTTTTCCTTCCAGTCCGGGGTTTGATGCTGGTGTATTTACACCTCTCTGGGACTGTTCTGGCGCACGCTGCTCTCCACTTTCTGAACTCCAGCTGGGCTTGTCAAATCAGGATTACATGACGCTGTTTCACAATAAAGTCCATTTTTTCTAATTTGATAATAAGCTCCTCAAAGACAGGGGTAAAGTACAATCTTTTGAACACTTACAGGGGCTAGCTTTGTGCTAGAACTTTTCATCCTTGTTTAATCACAGTGAGCTATCCTTTTGTGTGCTTTTGTTCAGAGTGATTTCCGATTACATTGCTGTAAGAAAAAAAAAGACAAGATGCCCTAGATGTCTTTTATTTAGGAAGTAAGAAATATTTTCATGCAATATAAGTTTTGTTCTTTAAAGTTTTTCATTGGTATATATGTGAGGGAACAGTATCATTCCACTTCTCGAGCACCAGCCATTGAAAAGGCCTAATTGTTCAGTCGAGAGTTTTCTGTAATAAATGAGTAAACCATGGAGCTATGAGGAGTTTCCTGGTAGTTTATTTAAAAAATATGTTTTGCCCTAGCTGGTTTGGCTCAGTGAATAGAGCGTCGGCCTGCAGACTGAAGGGTTCCGGGTTCGATTCCGGTCAAGGCCACATGCCTGGGTTGCAGGTTCCATCCCCAGTAAGGGGCATGTAGGAGGCAGCTGATCAGTGATTCTCTCTCATCATTGATACTTCTCTTTCTCTCTCCCTTCCTCTCTGAAGTCAATACTGGTAAAAATATATTTTAAAAAGTGTTTTTATTGTCTTCAGAAAGGAAGGGAGAGTGAGAGAAACATCAATGATGAGAGAATCATTGATCGCTGCCTCCTGCATGTCCCACACTGGGGATCGAGCCCGCAACCCTGGCATGTGCCCTGACTGGGAATCGAACCCCTTCCTGGCTCATAGGATGACACTCAACCACTGAGCCACGCTGGCTGGGCTAGACTTCTGTCATAATCTATATACCAGTAGTCATTGATTATTGTATTGGGTGAACCAGCTAAGTGTCTGAAATTCTGATTGCCATTGGATACTAATTTGGTTTCTCCTACAGAGACATAAAGGACAGTAACATTTAAAAAAAAGTTTTTTTTCACTCAGGAATATTTTAAATTAAATCTATTTTGGGATGGCTCAATACCATTCTTGCTAAGGCAGGGATTAAAATTTTGATCTCGTAATCATCACCCATTTTCCCCAAATAGGGACTGTTATATACCTCATGAGATAGAGCCTTGGTCACTCTTTGTTACTATGGAAATTCCATGTGCAGTAGTGACACATACAGTTGTTTATAAATAAGGATTTAGAAACTAGGGTATAAAATAATTACAACTTACCATAAAAAGGCAAATCTTCGAAACATCCAAGACGTCTTTTAAATCTGTATAGAATGCCCTATTTTTTAAAAAAACCAACACATTTCTTTTCTTAGAGGTGATTATTCATATTATAAAAATATTTCCAGTGTTCTTAAGAACCGTAATTTCCTCCACTCAAATAGTCTACTTACAGTGATTTCATCAAACTTCTAGATACAATTCAGCATGTGAGTAGGTTGCACCTGTACTGTGCTGGGCTCACAGCCTTTGGCTTGGTGGTTATTGACTGGCATCACTCGAGCAGTTATTAAATCTAGTATGATGCATTTTGTGGATTGTACAGTAATCTTTTAAAAGCAGTCAACCTTTATAAAATATTTATTTCAGAGCCCAGCAACTTGACACTCAAAATCTACCGCGCTGAATCCTATGCTGGTCTCGGAGAGTTCAAAGCAGCCATAGAGGACCTGAATGCAGTGCTCTTCCAGCTGCCAGGTTGGCCCGAGGTAAAATGACTCTTTTACATACATTTTAAAGTCTCAACTGTAAGGAACATGCATTCAGTTATGGTTATAAGTTTTAACAGGAGGGTGTGGTTGACTCTAAGTAAAAATATAGAAAGTTCTCAAAATCTAAGATCAATACTTGGGATAACTATCATCTGATAGTTTTTTAAATTGTAATAAATGTGTTTCCTAGCTAAAGAACAACTGAATTCAAGACACAGAAGAGACTTGAGTATATAGAATTTCCTCAAAGAGAGACAACTGGCCATATTGTGAAGATGGATACAAACTGGCCATTGGTGCCTGGGGTTTATTAATGGAAAGAGAAGAGGCCCTCGAGGCTGGAGAATGGATTGGGGCATTATGATGGGAACCAGATGATCAGGGGGCCACGGAGCTGGCCTTGCCATTTTTAAAAAAGACTTGTGCATGTATACAATCCGTTTACTGGTTGTCCTTTTTATCAAGTTGCCACGGCACATCAGTCCGTCTCCCGCGTATGTTCTTTAAGCTAGAAGTTACTCTTGTGACTTTTTCCTCCATTCAAAACTGTGCCTTAGAAGACAGTATAGTAAGGATGCTCCAAAAATTATAAATTAATAACAAAAATTAAGCAGAATCCCATGTTGGCATGATGGGTTAGTACAAGGCAAGAATAAGAGGGAAAATGATCTGTATGGACAACTTTAAAACTTAGAAAAAAGAAAGAACCCTTGGACTTAGCACTGGAGTGATACAATTAGAAATGTGATTTGAAGTCATTTTCTCAGCCTCAGTTCCTCTGTAACTGCCTCTCCAGGGCAGTGTGACTGTACCTCTAAATGCTCTGAGCTCCTCAGACTCATTCAGAGTTCAAAATGAGCATTTCCAAGCACACCTTTACTTGATATTGATTTTTAAAAAAACAACACAACTCTACAAATAAAAGTTGTGCGTTGTGCTTTATTGAAGGTCTACTTCAGGAAGGGAAAAGTCCTCCATGATGCTGGCTTTTTAGGTGACGCCTTACAGCTATTCCTGCAGTGCTTAGCCCTTGATGAAGACTTTGCACCTGCAAAGCTGGAAGTGGAAAAGGTAATTGGTTCGCCAACTTTAATAGTTTAAGGCAGGGCTAAGACACAGTTCTTTTGAAAAACCCTAATTAGAAAACTGGGATAAGAACATAAGGAATCTGTAAGTCAAATTTAGTGGCAATTGGACAGGTGGTTTTCAGGTTCATATACGTAGTGAATTGGGTTCTTACTGAAAGCAGAATATTTCATTCACAGATATTTAAATGCATTCGTTTTACTTAGTTAAATTTAGATGTTCCCTAATAGTCTGTTTAATCTGAGCCAGACGAGTTATCCTTAATTAACATTGTTGTCATGATGTTTCTGCTCAGGAATTTTTATTGGCCTGTCTTTTGCCTTTCATTTCAGGTCTAAACTTTGCTTACTCTCTACGGGTGCCAGGAGTATTGCCCTAGTCAAATTGTTTCCCTGATTTTTCTCAGCAGTCCATATTCCACTTTGAAAGTTTATTCTGTACTGTGTTAGTAGGTGTTAATTAAAAGAAAAAGGGAAGGGGTTCTCTGATCACATGATTTTAGGAAACATTGGGTTAAACCAAGTTAAAGAGGCTTCTTCAAAACTCAGAGGTTTCGCTATACTAGCATGGCGGCGGCATTCAGATGTTGTCGGACTTACTCACAGAGCATTTGGAAAGACTAGAGCACGGGTCCTCAAACTACGGCCCGCGGGCCACATGCGGCCCGCCGAAAACATTTATCCGGCCCGCCAGGTGTTTTTGCCGCCACTGTGTGCATAGGAATTTGTTCATAGTTTTTTTTTAAACTATAGTCTGGCCCTCCAATGGTCTGAGGGACAGTGAACTGGCCCCTGTTTAAAAAGTTTGAGGACCCCTGGACTAGAGTCATTGAAAATTTGGGGGGGGGGGGGAAATCAACCTTAATACAATTTCAATGCCTAGTCATGATTCTTTCCTCAATGTCCTCAAAACATGCTACATTATTTAATCCCTTTGCTGTGTTTCTTAGAGAATGGCTTTTTGTCAGAATCTTGGGTGCATGGTAAACATAAAGATTCCTGGGCCCCACCACACACCTTTGGAGTCTCTGCAACTGGGACATAGTTTAAGAAGCACCTCGGCAGAGTCTTATGTTTACTGTTGTGTGCTGACAAATCTATATTTGTTAGCCTTTCCTCCTGGTGAGATTGCAGTAAGGGCTTATAATTTGTATTTTCCATGCTATTAGATATCCTTATCTATCTGTAAATATTTCTTTGTTGGTTAATAAGGTCAGGTGAATGCAAAATAACAGATGCTTTGAAATATTTGTTTTTCCCCAATAAGCTTCTTGTAAAATTGTGGTATAATTTACATATATTGAAATGCATGGATTTTATAGTTCCATGAGTTTTGAGAAGTTATAAACTCATGTAACAGCACCCCAATCAAAATATAGATATCTTCATCACCCTTGAAAATTACTTTGTCTTCTTTCCAGTAGATTCCCAGAGGCAACGACTGTTCAGATTTCTATCACCATAAGAGTAGTTTTGCCTGTTCTAGAACTTCATATACATGGAATCATATAGTACTCTTTTGTGTCTGACTTTTTTCCTTCCAACATAGTATTTTTGAAATACATCCAGTAATTTAACAGTTTTTATTGTTCACCAGGTATTCCATTATATGAACATACCACAATTTGTGGTGTTCACAGTTAATAGTGATTTTCATTTGGATTATTTCCAGTCACTGCTATGAACATTCTTGTACCAGTCATTTTGTGGACATATATTTTACATCTCATTGGTAACCAACTAGAAGTGGAGTGACTGGGTTCTAGGGTAGTTGTGTGTTTACTACGTGTTTTTAAATCAAGGGAAATGTGAAATATACAGATTTTTAAATGTTTATTAAATGGGGTATTGCTTGAGCACCTACCAGATATGCACACTTTTATTTACATTGTATATATTTCCTCTTATTTACATTGTAATGATCATAAAAAAAATCTGATTTTTGTGTATTTGAGAGCTAGTATAGCTAAAAATAATCAAACCTCTAAATTTGGACTTTAAGAAATGCTCTACTGAACATATAAATACAGCTTATTTGACAAACAAAAAAAACGAATCCCTCTCATTTCCTTGAGCCTGGTTCTTCCCCTGTCTTGACCTACTCTGCTTCTTTGAGTTTTACATGTATTCCTGATAGAAGTGCCCAGATATTTTGATCCTGCAGCTGTAACTCTCAGTTGTTATGGGGCAGCTGCTGTTTAGTGCTCTCAACCAAAAGCTGGCATGGTGACTGCCCAAGCAGGTTAGTTCAGCAAGAAGCTAACTTCAGTGTAAATAGATGGGATTTTAGAGTTCTGTAGTTAGAAGTCCAAGTTCTTTAGTTCACATAAACACTCCAAGCCCAGCCTTAAAATATACATCAGGGGTGAACTGTGAACTTTTTGACAGGATAGGATTTGCTGATCTTCAGAGGTAAATACTTTCTACGTAAGAGCTCCTCTTTTTACAGTCCTTACATTAAAAAGTCAGCCTTCACCTTGGGCCCCTCCTCAGGTATCCAGTTGAACCACACCCATGTCTTCCTTTTGAGCCTTTTCTTTGAGATGATTCTTTCCCCAGTGAGGGACACTTTGGTTTTGCAAGACTTCTAAAAATACTTGGCAGTTCTGCTTATTACTTAATCTATTCTTTTGCTGCTCATTAAAAAATAATGTCCGCTACAAATTTTCTCAAAATTCTTAAATATTAGGTAACTTTATATTAAACTATCCTTAACCAAATATTTTATATTTGTATTACTTTTTAATATTTCTCTTACAGATTTTATTTGATTTATTATCACCTGAAAACTTAAAAGAAGGCCTGAAGGATTCTTCCTGGAGTTCATTGCCATGTACTAAGAACAAACCTTTTGGTTTTCCATCAGTAATGGAAGAGTTTCACTCTGCCAGTGAGCTCAGCCCAGAGCAGGTAAAGAGTGAGAAAAGATCACCATGGGTTTAGTGTATCCGCTTCTTTACAAGTTAAGATCTGCACTTCCCTCCTTTCAGTACTAGAATCTGTTTAGGTACTTTTAAGCTACTTAATGTTGTCTTAGTACATTTTTTGTCTGTAAACGTTTATTTCACACTAAAAACTTTTATGTGAAAAGACTTGTTCATTAATCACAATTTTTGATCACCTGAATGTTAGAAATGTTTTAGTCTCTTGGAAAATGGGGAACATTGTATTTATTTTAGTTTCCTCAGAGTAGGAACAATTATCTATATATATAAAAGGCTAAGTGCACAACCATACATACATCCAACCATCCGACCAACCAACCGTCTGGTACATAGGACGTGCACTGGCAACTGAAAAATAAACATTGACTTGTGAATGTCTGATACATATAAAGCTCTTGCTGTCACCAATCGCACGCATGTATTTCAATCTGTCATTGTTGATCATGAATTTGGTTGACACTTTTATTATAGAGAAAGGGCGAATAGCAATATTAAAATATTTCTTCTAATTAATTTCCTTTCAATGTACACGAATCCGTGCACCGGGCCACTAGTATTAGCATAACTGCTTAAGCCTCATTATAATACTGGTTAGCTGGATGTCTAGGGTTATATAAGTTCTGGCAAAAATAATTTGCTTGTCAGGGTTTTAGAATTAAAAGTTGGTGCTATTGGCCTGGCCAGGGTGTGGCTCAGTGGTGGAACATTGACCCATGAACCAGGCAGGAGTCATGGTTCGATTCCCAGTCAGGGCACATGCCTGGGTCATGGGCTCGATTTCCAGTTCGGGGTATGCAGAAGGCAGCTGACCAATGATTTCTCTCTCATCATTGATGTTTTCCATCTCTCTCTCTCCCTCTTCCTTCCTCTTTCTGAAGTCAGTAAAGAAAAACATATTTTAAAAAGTTGGTGCTGTTAAATGAACAGTAAAGTGGACATTATAAATTATTGAAATTTCATTTCGGTTTGATTCTTGGTGAGAACAGTAAGGATAGTGAAGAAATACAGATACTCTTGTTATTGTATTTTTGTAGAATGAAGAAATACCTGAGACCCCGGCAGAACCTGTCAAAGGAAGCTTAAACCGTGCTCGGTCAGCACAGGCTATCAATTCCACAGAAATGCCCACCAGAGAGGATTGCTTAAAACGCGTGTCCTCAGAACCTTTGCTCTCTGTTGAAGAAAAAGGTGCTCTCCTGAAAAGAAAGCTGTCTCTCTTAGAACAGGATGTGATTGTCAATGAAGATGGAAGAAATAAGCTTAAAAAGCAAGGAGGTAAACATTTCACTGCACTCATAAAAACATTTATTTATTTAGAATAACCTTTAAACTTTCCCACCAAAATAACCCTGTTGTTTCTTTGTTTAAATAGAAATGCCCAATGAGGTCTGTACGTTTTCATTAACTTATGGTGACATCCCAGAGGAATTAATAGACGTCTCAGATTTTGAGTGTTCTCTCTGCATGAGGTATGTAAAATTTTTTTACAAGATGAATATTTTATATTAACATAAATAAAATACAGGGTAGATAAAGATAACCTACTCTGTAATAATAGATAATGTAAGTGAACTAAATGTGCTAATTTTACTCCTCGCTGGACCTTTCATACTTTAGACAAATAACTTTAATATATGAACCTCTGGTTTCCTTATTTAGAAAGTGCGGTCAGTGTTTGCATAGCCTCTCTCACAGTGTTATAAGAATCAAATGACTTAAATATAAAAAGTACCTGGAAAATTGTGAAGTTCTATAAAGGCTGTACGTATTATTGTTAGAACTTAGAAATATCCATCATTTTATATTTGGGTAAGGATTCTAATTCTGTATTGTATGTGTCTGGCTCGTTAAAGAACCATTAGATAAGGATTTTCATTATGTGGAATGCTTAGAATTCTAAAAGACTGGTGGTTTGGAAAGAACGTTTTCCACTTCCATGAGTTGTGTGGCGTCAAAGGAACAGGGCCTGAAGAGTCAGGAGACCTGGAACTGGCCCCACGAGGCTGGTGGCAACTGGCTGTATTCCCAAGCACGTCTCTAATCAGAGCCTAGGTTCCTTTCTTTATGAGGAGGGGGGGATTAGACCAGACAGTTTCTGAAGTACCTATATATCTAATAATACTTCTAGGAAATTCAGATGTGTTTCAGGAAATAATCATACTGTAAGTAAAATTAGTTTTCCCATATTATCTGAGTATTGCCTTTGGTATTAAGCCTAATATTTCTTTAGGATTTAACTGTAATATTTATTGGATTATTCCTTTTAATGAATTTTATAGAGTATGCCTTTTATAAGCTTATTAAGAAAACGAATTTCAAAGAAGAAAATAAGAATCTATAGGAAAGCTATTTAGTGATTATGAATGAAATATCTTACATAAGTCTTGGAAATCTGGTGTGTATTTTACATTTGCTACGCATCTCAGTTTGGCCTGGCCACATTTCAAGTGGTCAGCGCCACTGGGCGAGTGGTTGTATTGTTAGTGCAGCTCTGGGTGCTTGGCAGGGCACCTCTGTTGGTAGAGAATGTTTAAAAAGTTCTTTAGGAACATTTTGTGTAATTGCATTAATCACTGCCCCCCTCCTCCTCTTCTACCCATCAGACTCTCCTTCCTCCTTCTCTAAATAGGGATTAGTGTTATGGTTCTATTAATAGTTTGTCCATTTTTTCTAATAAACAGTTTAATGTGAAAACTAATATGTACTTCATGCATTTTGGTTGATTTCAGGTTATTTTTCGAGCCAGTAACAACCCCTTGTGGACACTCATTCTGTAAGAATTGTCTTGAGCGTTGTTTAGATCATACACCATATTGTCCCCTTTGCAAAGAAAGCTTAAAAGAGGTAAACATTTTATCTGTTTATTGGTCTCAAGTTTGGCAACATGGTTTTATTTCTGATCAGTCATAGAAACAGTGACTATGATGTTCAGAACGAATTACATTATATATGCTGAGTGAGTGACTGCGAAGGATGATGCCTCAGGACCACATGTTAGTGTTGGAGAAGGCGAGGTCAGAGAGGGCAGGGAAAGAGAGAGGTCCTGGAGACCAAGCCCCCGGTACTTAATGTTTTAGCAAAGAGGGTGTATGGTCAAGTACCAGGTCAGGAATTGGTTCAGTATTACTGATGACAATATTGAGGGAACCCCCAATACTAGGCTGGATTTCTGGCCTTCTTCAGTCCCATTAACATCTGGAACAGCTCTGTTCAGTAGACTTTGAGCATTGATGGAGATGCTCTCTTTCTGTGCTATCCAACATGTCACTACCAGCCACATGTGAATATTAAGCACTTGAAATGCGGTTAATATGACGGAGGAATTGTATTTTTAACTCATGTGCATTTAAGCAGGCACATGTGACTGGTGGCCACCATGTTGGACAGGACAGCTCTAGAAAGAGGAGGCTGGGAAGGAGGGGAGGCACAGCTTCCCCAGCGCTTCTTGTAGAGTCAGTAGTCAGCGCCAGTAGCCTGTGTGAGGAAAGCAGCGGATCCCAGGTGGGAGGACAACACCTGCTCAGTCGTGCAAGGCAGCTGGAGACCCCCTAAGTGAGGCCAAAGTCTTGGAATTCTGCACTCCAGCTGTGCTGGTAGCATTGATCAGGGGAGAGCGACCCCGTCTCTGGTGGTCGGCAGGGTTGTTTAAAGAAAAAGTGTCTTCCAGATATGAATAAGAAAGTGATAAAACATTTTGCTATTGAACATACATAGCTATTTCCTATATACAAAATATAGCCCTGTGTAGGTATCATAATACTATATGTGCATTATGTTTGATATGTGTCTTATAGAACAAGCTGATATGTAAAAAACAAAACCACGTACAGAATGTTCACAAAATCAAGAAACAAGATAAACTTATTCTTAAAGAATTTGTTAATTGCATGTTCAACTAAATACTGTTTTCAGGTGAAGTACTCTAAATATAAGCATATTTATATTTCCCAGAGTTTTTAGTACTCTGAAATATATTTTTATTTTATATTTTTACTGATTTTAGAGCAAGAAAGGGGGAGAGAGAGAGAGAGAGAGAGAGAGAGAGAGAGAGAGAAACATCGATTGGTTGCCTCCTGCATGTGCCCCAACCTGGGATTGAACCTGCAACCTAAGTATGTGCCCTGACTGGGAATTGAACCTGCCATCTCTCCGTGTATGGGACAATGCTCCTACCAACTGAGCCACATTGGCCAGGGCTCTAATATATTTATTATGCTTTATTTTAGATTAATAACTAGGTATGTAGCTTTAAATTTAGATACCTCACCCTAAAAAAAATGGTGTTTAAAAGAAAATAAGCATATTTAAAAACGTAACTAGCGTACTATTTAAAAATAACTTTATTTTGTGTCCTGACTGAAAATACCTTGTATAACATAATTTGCATAAGCTAAATATATATTTTAAAGAATTAAATTGAAATGCTCCATAGTTTTGCATCTTTCCTACTTGTGATTTTATTTTGCTTATTTTTTCATTTGAATACATTTTATAGCAGTATAATAATATAATGCCTTGACATTTCCCTATTGTTGGATTTGTAAATTGCTTTGTTTTCTCTTTTTTTATGTACCATGTGTTATGTCTTTGAGTCTTTCCTTAGGGTAAATTATTAGCTTAAACATCTTATTTTTAAAAGACTCTTAAAACCAAGTGCCAAATTTTGTAGGTCCCTAGAAATGTACAAATTTAGATTCCTACCAGGCATGTAAGAGAGGCCATATTTTCCCAAATTTAATACATGAGTATTAAATTTTAAAACATTTTTAATAATTTAATAGAAAAATGGTAATAACATTGCCTTTATTAATGCCTATAATTTGATTCATTTTACGGTAAACTCATCAGTTAACTGTATCTACATTATCTGCTCAAGAGTACCACTTTTCAGTGGTTCTCAAAGTGTGTTCCCCTGACCAACAGCATCCGATCACCTAGACCCCACTCCAGAGCCACTAAATCAGAAACTCTGGTGGGACGTAGCAGTCTGCATTTTAACAAGCCCTGATTCATGCTAAGATTTGAAAACCACTACTACCCCTCTCCTAAATTCTCATATTTTCTACTCTATTAAAAGAAAAAAAAAAAAAAAAAAAAAAAAAAAAAAATATATATATATATATATATATATATATATATATATATATATATATATATCTCTACACTAATAAAAGAGAAAGATGCAAATTGACCATACCTCCGTGACGCCCACCAGCCAATCAGGAGTGAGTATGCAAATTAACCCAACAAAGATGGCAGGTTAATTTGCATACACAGGCACCTAGCGGCCCGGGGCAAGGCAGGATGCTTGCATCATCTCCATAGTGATGACACAGGCGTTCCACACCGCCCCAGCTGCTCTGGGCCTGAGTGAAGGCAGAAAGGCAGCTCTGGCCGGAGCGAAGGCGGTGCCGGCAGCCAGGGAAAGGAAGGCCCATTCTTGCATGAATCTTCGTACATCGGGCCTCTAGTGTGTATGTATATATGTGTGTGTGTGTGTGTGTGTGTGTGTGTGTATTTATTAATGATTTCAGAGAGAAAGGGAAGGGAGAGAGGGAAACATCAATGATGAGAGAGAATCATTGATCAGCTGCCTTCTGCACACCCCATACTAGGGATTGAGCCCACAACTGGGCATGTACCCTGACCGGAAATCGAACTGTGACTTCCTGGTTCATAGGTTGACATTCAAGCACTGAGCCACGCCAGCCGGGCACTACTCTATTTTTCATTGGATAACGACAAAACCTTTATTTATGCTGGATCTACAGATTAAAGGATGGCCTCTCTTTATCTTACCTCCTCATGGTTTTTCCTCACTACTTTTATTAAATAAACTAGAGGCCTGGTGCACAAAAATTTGTGCACTCTTGGCGGGGCGGGGGGGGGTCCCCTCAGCCCGGCCTGTGCCCTCTTGCAGTCTGGGACCCCTTGGGGGATCACCACCTGTTGGCTTAGGCCTGCTCCCCACGGGATTGGGCCTAAGCTGGCAATCAGACATCCCTCTGGCTGCCCAGGAGCCCCCGGGGGATGTCCACTTGCCAGCAGGGAGCAGGCCTAAGCTGCAGTCAGACATCCTTAGCGCTGTTGAGGAGGTGGGAGAGGCTCCCGCCACCACGGCTGTACTGGCTTGTGGCTGAGCAGAGCTCCTCCTGTGGGAGCGCACTGATCACCAGGGGACAGCTCCTGCATTGAGCGTCTGCCCTCTGGTGGTCAGTGTGTGTCATAGTGACCTGTCATTCCCAATCGTTCTGCTGTTAGGGTCAGTTTGCATATAACCCTTTTATTATATAGGATAGAGGCCTGGTGCATGGGTGGGGGCCGGCTGGTTTGCCCTGAAGGGTGTCCCGGATCAGGGTGGGGGTTCCTCTGGGGTGCCTGGCCAGCCTTGGTGAGGGGCTGATGGGTGTTTGCAGGCTGGTCACACCCCGTTCAGGGTGTGGGTCCCCACTGGGGTGCCTGGCCAGCCTGGGTGAGGGGATGATGGCTGTTTGTAGGCTAGTCAAGCCCCTCCTTTCCCCAGTGGGGACCCTCACCCCATGGAGGTTTGGCCAGCCTGGGTGAGGGCCTGATGGCTGTTTTCAGGCTGGTCACACCCCCTTTAGGGTGTGGGGTCCCCAGTGGGGTTGCCTGGCCAGTCTGGGTGAGGGGCTGAGGGCTGTTTTCAGGCTGGCCAAGCCCCTGGGCAATGGAAGCTACCAGCCTCTCCTCCTCTTCTTTTTTTTTTATTCTGAGATTTATTTACCTTCTATAATTGAAACTTTGTTGCCTCCAGTGGAGCTCAGAGCCGGCCAGGACGCGCGGGAAGCTTGGCTTCCTCCATCATTGGAGCAACCAAGCCTCCTGCTCGCTCCAGCTCTGTGGCCACGGCCAGCTGAAAGCAGGTATCTGGGGTTTATTTATCTTCTATAATTGAAACTTTGTTGCCTTCAGTGAAGCTCAGAGCCGGCTGCGGCAGGCAGGAAGCTGGCTTCCTCCATCATTGGAGCAACCAAGCCTCCTGCTCACTCCAGCTCTGTGGCTGCCGGCTGCCATCTTGGTTGGGTTAATTTGCATATAGTAGCTCTGATTGGCTGGGGGCATGGCTTAAGGTGTAGCGAAGGTACGGTCAATTTGCATGTTTGTCTTTTATTAGATTAGATTTGTACTGGGCATTTGCTTTGCGCAAAGTTCTGTGCGTACACTCTGACCTGGTCCCTTCCCCTGTGCAGTGTTTAGTTCAGTTACAGAGACGTGATGTATTTCCTGTCCATGTTGTATAGTGTAGGGTGTGGTAACTGCCTTTTATATGGTTCTTGGGAGACAGAAAAATAATTAGAAAGACTTTATAAAAAAGGTAAAATTGGAGCCAGACCATAAAAGATAGATGGGCCTTTCACAGGCAAGAGTATAAGAGATAGCTTCTAGCAGTTGGAACAATGACACCAAATGCATGAGGGGCGGTTTCTCAGAGTCTGAAGGGAGTGGTAAAATGTCCCCTTCATACATACAGGGGGTCATCTGGGAAAAACAACCTCTTGACGAGGGTCTGAGTATAGTAAGGTGACAGGGAAAGGAGAATCTGAAAGAAAAAATTTGCTGTAAACTCTGCTACTGAAATAGGGAACAGAAAAGGGTGTATGTGTAGTTTTTGCTTTTTAAAAATAAGGCAAATGCACCATTTTCTTTATTCCTTACCTTATTTTTGTTTTTCAGTCAAAATGCTAGTTTCAGGTACCCATGAGCTGCCAGATGGAGATTGGCCTTCTGTGTGGGAGATGCAGGGGCAGGGCTGACAGCTGCTAAAGGATCTGTGATCAGAGCAAGACACAGTCCTTACATAGGGTGTGGCTCCAGCTGCCACCATGCAGCTTTATGCTCTTGAGCGAAGCCTCAGACAGGTGGCCTGTTTAGCATCATCCATTGTAAGGTTCCCCTCACTAATTCGGTTAATTCAGATAGACTGTATAAATATGTAATAAGGGCTTGACTGTATCAGCTAAATTGTTTTGCCTGTTTTATACTGTAGGAAAAAAGAATTGGAATGTAAAATAATATTGTCTTTTAGTATCTAGCAGATAGGAGGTACTGTGTCACACAGCTGTTGGAAGAATTAATAGTGAAGTATCTGCCTGATGAGCTGTCTGAGAGAAAAAAAATATATGATGAAGAAACTGCTGAACTCTCACAGTAAGTTTCTTCTCATAAAAACGCAATCAGATTACAAACTACTACCCTTGGAAATAGGAGAAGCCTTCTCGTGGCAAGCTGGATCCCGCCTGTAGTTCAACCCATACAGTCAAAGGCATATTTCACACAGATATTGGTCAGCTTCCCCTGTCCTAAACAGGATTTTTTAAAAGTTCATTTGGTAACTTCCAGATGTTCTACTGGGAATTATTGACTCATTTAAGCAGCATTTTAGGTGGGGGAGGGTTTCTTACAGTGACATCAGGCAGTGGAATCTGGAATGGAGAGGTGGAGCTAGTAACAGTGGTTGCTGGGAACAGCAACCCTCAGGTACCAAGGCAGTGTAGGAGGAAGGCAGGAGACAAATGGTCAGGATTGGCAGGGGGTTTAGCCAATTAGAGGTTTGGAAGGTGGGGCGTTGAGTCTTGAAATTGGAAAAGGGTAAGGAGGTGACTTAGGGGCCAGATTCTCAATTAATGAAAATATTGACTTGAGGCAGAATCGAGTCAGAAACAGGAAAGTGAAAGCCCTGGGGGTAGCTTTGAGAGCTGGTGGGAGAGACCATTATTGAGGACTTCATGGCCGACTGGGGATGGGAGGCTGGTCCTAGTCTTGTTGCTCTTAACCTTTATTTCTTGTACTTTTCTTCACCTACGTCTTTCCCTCTTTGACCAGTCTTTGGAGTCTCTACATTTTTTTCATAGGTTTTTAATTTCTTAGCTCTTTTCCTTTCGTTTTCTTTTTTTAAAATTCTGCCTTTTAAAGAAAAAAAATATATTTATTGATTTCAGAGAGGAATGGAGCGCAAGAGAGAGAGAGAAACATCAATGATGAGAGTCATTGATCTGCTGCCTCCTACACATGCCCTAATGGGGATCAAGCCTGCAACCCAGGCTTGTGTCCTTGACTGGAATCAAACCTGGGACCCTTCAGTCCACAGGCCGACGTTCTATTCACTGAGCCAAACCAGCTAGGGCATGGACTCTTCTTTTTTTAGTATGTGCCCTCCAAATGTCTTCATTGGGCCCGGGGCCGTCAATGAGAGACTTCCTATCTTTATGGAAATCGGTATGATTTGTCTTCTCGTGGAACTGATAGTTTATTGTGTGGTTCTATGGTAGAAAATATTCGGAAGTGCAGATTATGAAGCTTTTTGATCAACACTGCAAGAAGCTGCTTATAGGAAAGCTGCAGATATACTTTAAAATCTTAAAACGGTGCCACACCCGACCCCCCACAGAGCAGTGCAATTGGTGAATGACCAGCAGCAGTAACAGGAGGGGAGCTGAGGTGAGGGAGGGAAGCTTGAGGGCACCTGCTGCTCACTGATGAGGCTGTTGTCCTTGAGGAACGGGTCCTCCTCTGGACTTACAAGTTTTGCTAATTAATGGGTCTGTTGGGTTTTTTCCAAGTTCTCAGGTTCATAAGGAGAGTGTACAATGATGGTAAAACACAGTTTTAAAAGTAGAGTAACTAGCACTTGTACATTAAACATGTTTTTATTAAATATTAATTTTTGTAACATGATCTTTTTGAAGAAAAATTAGAAAATATAAGTGAGCAGGGGGAAAAAAAGCCATAATGGGCAACCCAAAGGGAGCTTCCTTTGGCATTTTGGCATATATCCTTTTATGTTTTAATATATATAAATACATTTTAAACATAGATGGGGTCATTTTATTCATATAATTCCATAACCTCTTTTCTCATTTAAATGTATACCATGTGATGGCTATGTCATGATTTATTATCTTCTTTTTGCTTCTAAGTTGTGGCTGCTGTACAGAGTGCTACACTGAACATGCTCAGTACTTGTGGGGAAAAGGGAGCCTGTTGGTTCAAAGGATGTGGACATTTAAAAAAGCTTTTGATGTGTATTGATTGCCACATGCTCCTTCAGCGTGGCTGTCCTGTTCCAGTCTGCCCCCTGCACTGCCAGCTTCCCCAGCCCTGTCAAAGCTGGGCGCTGCCTGCATCCTCTTATTTTCTGCAAATCTGGCAATGGAAAATGTATCTTTTTAATTACCTGGAAAAATGTTTTTGAATTACCTATTTTGATAGTTTGAAAATATTTTTAATGCCTAAGAATTTTTAATGATTTGTGTTTTGTCTTTTCTGGGAATTCTTTTTTTTTTTTACTGTTATCTAAGAGTGACTAAGAGTGTTTTACGGAGAAAGGATATTAACTCTGTCATGTTACAGATATTTTAGACAGATTTTAAATATAGAATAGAATTCTAGTCCATTTCTTTTTGATTCATAAAGAAACTTAGCTCTATATGATAACCTGGCAGCTCGAATACAGATTGACTTGCTTGACTTGTGTGCATAAGAGGATCACAAACACTGTTTTAGTGCTAACGTATCCGTGTGAGTGTACTGATTCTTGTTCTTGCCAAGAATGAAAGTTACATTATTTGGGTCTGCTTTCTTTTTTTTTTTTATATGAATTTATTACTGTTGCAAGCTTTACTCATTTTGGTTATAAATTCTGACATATAATAATGACACTTTTCTCTTCTTCAGCTTGACCAAGAATGTCCCAATATTTGTTTGCACTATAGCCTACCCCACTGTGCCTTGCCCTCTTCATGTATTTGAGCCAAGATATAGATTGATGATTCGAAGAAGCATACAAACTGGAACGAAACAGTTTGGGATGTGTGTCAGTGACAAGCAGAATGGGTATGCTTTTTGTGTTCTTTTAAGTATTTGTATTTACCTTGGAACTTTCCTTGAATATTGTTGAGAACGTGCGTGCTTGTCGCTTGAACTTTGATGTTAATTGGAATTTTTCTTTTAGTTTTGCAGATTATGGTTGTATGTTACAAATTAGAAATGTACACTTCTTACCTGATGGAAGGTCTGTGGTGGATACTGTTGGAGGAAAGCGGTTTAAGGTTTTAAAAAGAGGAATGAAAGATGGATATTGTACTGCAGACATTGAATATTTGGAAGATGTTAAGGTATTACACGGTGTTGTTTTCCAGCACACCTTGGTGTGCTCTGTCCTGGGCATGGTACAGGCATCTGGGCAGATAAAACAGTTCTTCCTCTCAGAGACCCTCACCAATACTTATGCAAATTAGTTTTGACTTATCTTTTTCTTATCTTGTTCTTAATCATTGTGAGTTCCCAGAGAACCTGGGAGACCAGACCTAGATACTCTTTGTTTCTCCAGGCTCAGCAGCCAGCACAGCACCCAGAGTGTGAGAGTGTGTGTGTGTGTGTGTGTGTGTGTGTGTGTGTGTGTGTGTGTATTGGCAAGGCAGGCACTTAACAGGGTTGAATGTTAACCTTTTTAATTTTAATTTTTATTTTTTGCTTAAAGTATTACAAAGGGTATTACATATGTGTCCTTTTTTTCCCCCCTGCCCTTGACAATCCCCTGGCCTCCCCTACCCCCCAGTGTCTTATGTCCATTGGTTATGCTTATATGCATGCATACAAGTCCTTCAGTTGATCTCCTACCTCCCTCCCTTTTGCCCCTCCCAACCCTCCCTGGCCTTCCCGCTGCAGTTTGACAATCTGTTTGAGGCAGCTCTGTGTTGACCTTTTTTAAGTGTACAGTTTAGTGGCATTAAATGTATTCTCATTGTTGTGCAAAAGTAGATGCCTTTTAAACTTGTTTTGTGTTTCATTTCGCATCTCTAAAAAATAAAAAGCATGTTTGTTTGTTTTTTGTCTCTTTTGTGCTGTAGACTCACCTTTTATAGCTCAGATGTTTTTAGAGTTCTTCTGTTGTTTTTCTCTTGCGTCATCCTTGAGTGTGAAAGGCTGAGTCAAGCCTGGTGTTTGCTGAGATGTGTGCATGTGTGTGGTCTAGAGCGCTCCCTGACAGGCAGTGAGTGGGAGAGAAGTGTGCATTAAGGCAGTCAGTGTGAGGGGGTGAGTTAATGCTCCATCTTCCACCTGCATTTGTGAGACCACTCGATCGCAGGCTGCAAGGCTGAGCATCTAATTGGTGCTGCCATGATCCAGCAGTCTGCAGGGTGTCCGGAGGGATGATGAAGGTGACCACAGCCTTGGGCCTTTACAGCAGGAGACGTTCATCACTGCATAAATTATTCTCTACCTTTTTATATGCTAAGTGATTTTCTAAAATTTTTTGTTTGTTTTTTGACCCCGTTCTGTGGTGGAAAATCCTGTTCCGCTTTCTATCCCTGTCATCTGCACCTTAATCCCTTCCCTGTCTTTCCTTTTATTGTAGTAGCTGAACTCCTGCTCTTTTCATTCCACTGTTTTCAAAAACCACTGATCCATAAAGACAAAGAACTCCCTCACAATCTTACCCCTCCTCCTGATTGGGGCTGTTAGGAGGGTCGTATAGTACTGTATTATGTGAGGCAGAAATATTTGATACGTATTGTATAAGAATAATACTCTTATGATCCAGCACTGAAATAGGTAGTCCCTATTTTTCGATTTTTCCCACGTCTGTGGGGTTGGTGATATTAGACACAGAAGTCTTACTAACTGTTGTATTTCTAGGTGGAGAATGAAGATGAGTTAGAGAGTCTCAGGCAGCTTCATAATTTGGTCTACTCTCAAGCCTGCAGCTGGTTTCAGAATTTAAGAGACAGATTTCGAAGCCAAATTCTTCAGCACTTTGGCTCAATGCCCAGGAGGGAGGAAAACCTTCAGGTAAGATGGCTTTGATGTTGTTTCCAAAAGTCTCACTTTTTAAAATAAACCCAAGTGAGTAGATTTTTAAGGTTTTGCTGTTGTTGTCCTGTTTACATCGCATCTCCTTTGTCCCCGTCTTTGGAATCGTGCCTGTATTCCCTAGCACAGTGGTACCCGCTGCATTTGACGTGGGAGGGGTGTGTAGGTGTCACTGCAATGCCCGTAGGAGTGAGGTCCAGGAAAGGTCAAACCCTTAACTGAGGGGCCCTTTTCAGAAGGAGAAGTAAGACATCCAAAATGGGACGTGGTACCATCGGGTAAATTGTGACAACTGCACCTCGAGCCAGTCAGCTGTCGTTCTGGGACAGTTGAGAGATGAAGTGTATCATTTTCTGTACTTTGAAAATTTTTTTCTCACCACCTTTTATTCCCAACTTTCAGCCTGGCAATTAAATTCATTTCTGTCTCTTCATGTTTAATGCTACTCTCCTTGGAAACTGCTGTCCTTATGGCCTAGCTCAGGTACTTAGGGTTTGCTTTTAAGCTTAATCTAATTAATGTGTAGCAGGCACTCTGGGCAAGCGATCTGTGCAGTAGGCACTGTGAGAGGCAAGAAAGGAGGGTCCCCAGCCTGGGAAGTCTGAGCTTAGATGCATCAAAGCACTGACTTTTAGGCACAAGTGTTTTGAATTGCATAGAAGAAAATGTTTGTGGTCAGAAGGTGATAGATTTCATAAAGGAATGACTATAAATAAATACGAATCTGGAGAGAAAACAGATTCCGCTGTGACGCAGACTGCCTCTCAGGTCCGTGCTCAGAGGTCAGTACAAGTCTGTCTGAATCCCAGCTGAGTCCTTCACCTGAACTCGAAATTTCAGCATTAGACCATCTTGTAATTGAGCACTTACTCTGTGTCTAGCATGTTTGTTTTATCCTGTCTACCTAAATCTGATTAAATTTCATAGAAGAGCTTTTGATAAGCACAAAATTAATAAAGTTTAAGTGTTAACAAACCCAACTTGTAGAAAAATTCAGCATTGCTTTCCTGTGGCCTTTACCACCCTCCCCCATTGTTACCCTATCCTCCGCCTCTGCCGTCTGTTAGTCTGTATGAGGCAGGATTCGGCGAGGAAAAGAAGAGCCCCTCAGTCTGCTCCTGGAATGAAGGGTTTCTTTAGGATGTAGATCTAACGCCCCAGCTTGGAGAAGTTCGGGGACATCGTCAGTGCTCAGAGAATCTGCCACCACAGACCTGGGCCTGCCCCGGTGTTGCTCAGTGTCAGCTGTAGCCGCGGAGCAGGTGGTTTTCAGGAGTTCTCTGGAAGCTTCTGTAAATCTCACATCTGCCCACACTGGGCAACAATCTCCAGAGGGTAGTGGCTTCCTCTTTTCCAACTTACACATCTCACACAGGAGTGCCTCTCATTGGCCAGTCTAACCTGGAACCATATGGGGAAGGGGGTTCTGGGGAATGTAGTTTTCTGATGTCTCTGATAATGCAGAAGGAGGTGGTCGTGGTGCTGAGTAGAGCACAGACAATACATAAATATAGAAATCTAGTTTGAGTCTAAGAGTGCATTGAGACCAACACTGATATAGCTCCTTTTGTCATTCTGAACTTTCAGGTCCAATAAGAAGCAGTTCAATTGTAGTAAAGGTGGCTTAACAATTCTTTTGTATAAGTTCCTGTTCTTTCAATAGCCAGTAGTCAGCCCTTAAAACATCAGGGGGACTTCTAGCTTTCCCAGGAGTCCGCAGTTCTTTGAAGATATTTCAGAATACCAACTAACTTTAAAAAAAGTGTTTTAGCCCTAGTGGTTTGGCTCAGTGGATAGAGTGTTGGCCTGTGGGCTGAAGGGTCCCGGGTTCAATTCTGGTCAAGGGCACAGGCCTGAGTTGCGGGCTCCATCCCCAGTAGGGGGCGTGCAAGAGCCAGCCGATCAATGATTCTCTCCCATCATTGATGTTTCAATCTCTCTCTCTTCCTTCCTCTCCGAAATCAATAAAAACATATTTTTTAAAAAGTTTTAAATATGCATGTTAAGAAAACATTTCTCAAGTAGGGACAGTTTTGCCCCTGTGGGACATTTGGGAATATCTGGAGACAACTTCATGTCACAACTAGGGAGGTGCCGCTGACAGAGGCAGGGTGCTGCTCAGCAGGCCATGATGCCCAGGACGGTTCTCATAACAATCAATCATCTGGGCCCCAATGCCAGTCACCTGAGCGTGAGGAAACCCTGCTCTAAGCAGTTCCTGCAGAGGAAAGAGTGTGGGCTGTGGAATCAGGTCTGGGTTTGGATGTTGGCTCTGCCACGTGTGAGCTGAGAGAGCTTGGACAATTTATATTGCACTTCTGAGCTCCAGTTTCCCCATTTTTTATGGGTATAGTAATAGCCTTCCTTGCATGATTGTGTAAAGGATTTGAGATGGGACTTAATAGGAAGAAATGCTCAGTCAAGACTAGCTTGTTGGTGGTTTGTTACTGCTGTTATCACATGGACACTTGAATTAATCCTATAAAATGTTGCTTATTTTTTAGGCGACTCCTAATGGACCTGCCTGGTGTTGGTGGCTTCTTGCAGTTCTCCCTGTGGATCCCCGATACCAGCTGTCAGTTCTGTCAATGAAGTCTTTGAAGGAACGGTTGACAAAGATACAGCATATCCTGACCTATTTTTCTAGAGACCAGTCTAAGTAACTAACTGCTTGGATCTTCCTTTAAAGTTACCCTAACCTGGCTCTGTTGATGGCCAGGTTGTCTGCTGCCTTTGCACCTCCAGTGCTGGTTTGAAAAATGTATGGAAACTCTTGTTTTTTTATTTTATTTTATTTCCTCAACCTCCAGAATCATGTGGTTCTGCAAATGAATACCCTCAACTAGGATTTAGACCACTAAGAACTTGCACAGGAAAACACACAGCAAATGTGTGTTAAACCTCTACATTGTGATGAAGTTGCACTATGTACCGTATTCTAAAATGAAACGAGAACTGTGTGTGTGTGTGGAGTGTGTGTGCGCGAGCGTGTGGGTAGTATGTGTGCATTTTCTCTGGCTTTAAGATTTTAAAAGAAAAAAAAAAAGCCATAGAGAGCAGAGCTTGCCGAGGGCCATTTACTGCCCAAGTTTACAACAGTAGCGAAACGAGTTTTTGCGAATTGCAGTTGCCTCCGATTTCTCTGTCCGAATGCTCTGTTTGCACAGGTGTGTAAACTGTGGTATTGCGTATCGCTCTGCTGGAGATCCTGCTCTTGCTGAACTGTCTTGACCATTGACTATGATACTTTCCTATTTATGTAAATACGTGCACCCCGGTGGCCGACAGGGGTGCGGAACCTAGAGCCAGTTTTCAGGAACATTTGCAAACCTGACATGGTACTGTGCATCTATTCACAAAACACTCAAAACTGTGAAAATATGGTTTACATTTAATTGTACATAAAGGCAAATGGAGAACTGACGCAATTCAGTACCAGTTAGTTTGTACCTTTTAGGGGGCTTTTCTCATTAACTGCCCATCTATGTAATTTATAGTTTGACATGATGTGTTATAGGACCTGAGGGACGAGAAGGAGCTTAATGTAGAACTAAGCTTTTACAGTCTGTTTTGTTTTCCAGTTCTGGTCGCGGTGCAAATGTTAGTTATGCCTTACTCATCTGACAATTAGAGCACCATGCTGTGACGTGGTTTATACTCATGCTGCCCTAGACACTTTTGTAATTATTTGTTGCAAACTTAGGACTGTCCCTATTAACTTTCTTTTATGTAAGTAATTTGTAAAAATTTCGGAAAAACTTGCTTTTGCTTATTTAATTTTGAATAAAAGCTAAATTCATAACAATTTTTTCTTAATTTTAGGTCGTTGTAAAAAACAGTCAGTGGGGGTATCAAACTACAGAGTGAAGGCACCGTTGGGTTTTGCTCACTGTTTGTGCCGTGAGACATTAACACGAGCTTTCAAAGTGCTTTTCTTGGTCAAATTTTCACCAAACAATGCAGTGACTTAAGGAGGCTTAAGGCCCTAGAGCAGTGATGGCGAACCTTTTGAGGTTGGTGTGTCAGCATTTTGAAAAACCCTAACTTAACTCTGGTGCCCTGTCACATATAGAAATTTTTTGATATTTGCAACCATAGTAAAACAAAGACATATTTTTGATATTTATTTTATATATTTAAATGTCATTTAACAAAGAAAAATCAACCAAAAAAATGAGTTCGCGTGTCAGAGGTGACATAGGTTCGCCATCACTGCCCTAGAACCATCCTCTAAAGCACTATTTTTCAACCTTTTAAAAATCCACGTCCCTTTAGGATGAGGATAAATACATATTACCCATTAGAGGCTTCTCTTGGTTAAATGGACTTGACCATTTCGCCCCCCCCTTTCCCAGCTAAGATTTTCCAAACATCTTTTAATATTGAATGTTGATGTAAAAAATATGCTCAGAAATGACTGCCTTGAGGACCACCCGCTGCCCCTCAATTATGCTGATTGAGAATGTTCATTAGTTCTGCAGAAAATATTGTCTAAAGAATGGGCGATTTCCCAAAAGCACCTTCTCAATAGTTTCTGAAGTGGTAGGTTACACTTCTTTGTAATAAACTATTAAATGCTGTTAAGTGGTGTCTGGGCAGTAGAAGTGCAGAGTTTACCTGTATAGTTCAAATATGTATCAGGTGGCAGTACAAGTTAATGGTCTTGAGTCTACATCTGTAACGTGTGCCTGAAGTGCACACATGTGAGCTCACACCAACACAAATGGGCATTAAGTTGTCTCTATACACATGTACTAATAGGAATTCCATGGGTTTTATTTATCATCTGACCTTAATTTTGTGATAGATAAATTCTGATAGTTGCTGTCTAAAGATTTAAACAAAAAATATCATTACAGCCATGGTTCAGTGGTTGAGCATTGACCAGTGAACCAGGAGGACACAGTTCGATTCCGGTCAGGGTACATGTCCAGGTTGTGGGCTCGATCCCCAGCATGGGGCATGCAAGAGGCAGGCAATCAATGATTATCTCTCAATATTAATGTTTCTATCTCTCCTTCTCCCTTCCTCTCTGAAATCAATAAATATATTTTTAAAAGTATCCTTACAGAAAGAGCAAAGGAATCTGACACTTTCCCTCCTTATCACGGTAAGTGACTAAGTTCTATGATGAGTTTGACTTTTCAAGCCAAAGTAGCTAGTTGCTGCCCTTGTCTCCGTTACACCTGTCTTTACACCAGTTCTTCCTGCTCTCCAAGATCCAGCGGGGAGGCCTTCCCTCAGCGGGAACTCTGAACTCCATAGCATTTTCCTTCTTCTCTGCTCCTGGCACTCACAGGATAACTGAATTAAATACAAACCCCTCTCCCAAATGCTAGGGCCAGTGTCCAGCATTTAGACAGATTTGAGCTCTAAGACATGTGCTGACCACTGAGCAGAATTGAAATAAATGCCAGTTAAGAAGGGAAATTGGATGAGGAGGATTAGACTGCAAATACCTTTGCCTTCCCTTCCTCCCCAAATAGAAAAAGGGACAGTAATGAAATGAAGTCTGATGGCATTGTGAAACCGAAAGTCTGTCCATTGGCCAGTGCTGTGAGGAACTTATGAGATACGGAAACAGCTGATACAGGAGACCAAAGGAGAACATAGCTTCACAGAAACTCAGTATCCTTAGGTTTGAGAAGGTGCAATTCCAAAATGATCTGTGAATTCAATACTTTTCACATAGTCCCTGACACCATAGAAGCATTCAATGAGTGAATCATAAAAAGCAAGTAGATGAGCTACGCAGAATGAATTAAAGAATAAATGGAGAGTCGAGTGGGGGCGCTTTCCTGAACACAGTGCAGAAATCAATGCAGTCAAAATAGAAGGGAAAAACTGAGACATGGAAGACAAAGTTTTAACGTCCTTGTAATAGAAGTTTAAAAAAGGAAGAGAAGTAACAAGTAATTTTCCCAGAGCTCAAGGACTAAAAATAATCTTTCTTAGGGGCTAACTTCCTCTATCGAAAGGGAAACAAGAAGGCAGGTGGACCAGGGACAAACAGCAATAACTCAGTTGACTGGCATTGCTCTGCAATGAGGTTACTGGCTGGATCACATGATTTTTCTTCCTAAGACCTAAGCCAATGTCTAAATGCCAACATTTAAATAGTGTTTAATATACAGGGTGTCACCCCAAAATGTATACACGCGTTGAATAATTATAAAGACAGTGTTTATTAAAATACACTTAATTTTCAAATTTGAGCTATCAGCTGTTAAAGTGTGTATACACTTTTGGGTGACACTATATATGTTTTTAAATAGAGGAGACATTTATGACCCAGCTTACTAGTAGTTATATGAGCTCTCTTGCATACCTGTCTCCAAATAGCTTTTGGTTGGTCACCAACATAAATGTAGCCTTAAGCTTTTTGTCACAACTTAAGGTAGTGAAAAGAATATAGATTTAATTTCAAAATGTGGTAAGCACCACATTTAATTCTCAGAAAATCCCATAAAGTCGGTATTTCTGTCCAGATGAGGAAACTGAAACACTATGTAGTTAAGTAATTTATGGGTTGAACTGTGTCCCCCTCTCCCTCGCCGAACATGTTGAAGTTTAAACTGTTGGAACCTCAGACTGTGACTTTATTTGGGAATAGGGTCCAGGGTGCAGATGTAATTAAGATGAGGACATACTGGAGTAAAGTGAGTCCTTAGTCCAATATGACTGATGTTTTTCTGAGAGGAGGAGGAGAGACACAGAGCAGAATGCTATGTGAAGCACAGAGACTCCGAAGACAGCCCATGTGGCCATGGAGGCAGAGATTTGAGTGATACGTCCACACGCCAACGAATGCCTGAGGGTATCAGAAGCTGGAAGAGGCGAGAGAGAACCCTCCCCTAAAGGTTTTGGAGGGGGCATGACCTTGGTGACATCCTGATTTGGGGCTTCTTGTCTCCAGAGCTGTGAGAGAATGCATGTTGTAGACTGTTTAAAGCCACCCCGTTTGAAGGGGGGCAGCCTGGGAAAACCAGCATAGCATTCATTTCAGACGGACGGATTGTGATGCAAAGGCCATGTGCAACTGGGACTGGACCTGGTTGAACACGCATTTTCTGGTTAAAATTGATTGTAGTAACTCATCTGATATAATTAATTCTAGAGTTGGAGGATTTGTAAGTAGAAATAAAGTTGCCAGAAATGAGGAAAGGGACAAATCAGCAGATCAGACTCAAAATAGTTACACCTTTTACTTCAGGCACATTCATAAGTCCATGTAAACCAGCTGGTAAATGCAAGACACATAAAGGCCCTCCTCTCACCCCAAGTCAAAGCATTGGAATGATTTAGCACCTCATATGCATAGCTGCCGGGAGCCGGTCCATGCTTGCTGTTTCAAGGGACCTGGCACATATGGCATACTGTTCTTAATATGTTTGCTCACCTTCTTGGCACTATGTGTTTTAACCAAGGTCTCCTCTCTGAGAAAGGTTGTTTCCCCAGGTAGGGATTTTCCCCTGAAGTTAAGGTGGGAATAAAACCTCTTAACTAGTGCCAGGTGGGTAATTAATCACTTTAACTAGGAACAATCATGCTTAAGCTACATAATCTTTACTCCCTGGAATGAAGATAAGAAACGCCCTAACCTTTGTAATAGAGATTGATAGGATTGAATCAACTGGTATAAATACAGATGCAATAAGACAGCAAGAGACAGAACTAGAGACAGAAGAACTTCGCTGGAGAGAACATGGCAAAAGATCCTGGACTGAACCTGACTACAGAAATGGGCAAGAGAACCTGACTAGAACCTGGTGACTGAACCTGGCTGGAGAACCTGGACAGAACCTGGCTGGAGAACCTAGCGAGGGAACATGGCTACAGAACCTGGCTGGAGAACCTGGAGAACCTAGCAAGAGAACATGGACACAGAACCTGGCTGGAGATCCTAAGCAGAACTTCGCTGGAGATCCAGACCAGAACTTGGCTGGAGATCCTGGCTAGAGATCCTGGCTAGGCTGCTGATCAACTGAACACTGCCTCCATGTCCTTCCTTCTTCGCCGACTCCGTCTATACCTTTGGGGACCCCTGGACCTGCTGGGGTTGGACCCCGGCATCTGGCGCCCGAACAGGGACCCCTTAGGTAAGTCCCCCCGCACTCGGGACGGATAGGACTCCACCGCAGGAAGAGGGTGGATAGTCTTCGCCGACTCCGTCCACACCTTTGGGAACCCCTGGAACAGGATTCCCCTAGGTAAGCCCCCCCCCCCCCCCATTGAGAACCCCACACTCAGGACGGATAGGACTCCACCAGGGTACTGCAGACCCCCCTATAGAGGATAAGTAGGGTAAGAAGGTGGATAGTACAGAACTTAGATTGAGAAGATGTGCCATACTGAGTCCAAAGAAAGAAGACTCTGTATTGATCCTTAGATTGAGAAGATATGCCATACTGAGTCCAAAGAAAAAAGACTCTGTATTGATCTTTTAACATATATGCTTGCTAGCAGAGGAATTAAGGTTACTCCCAGTCAGACAGAACATTTTATACAAGAAATATGTCCATGCTTTTCTGAGGAAGGAAAGGTAAATGTAATGGCATGGGAGAAGGTAGGCCCAAGGAGCCTTATCCTTAACCCCACTGCAGCCTTTCCACCCTGGGAAAGTGCAGGATTGGCAAGCTCTCCCTGGGGTGATAGATCAGGACTCAGGTAATAGCGGAAAGCGCCAATCCTACTCTTAAAATGGATACAAGAGAGCATTTCAGGTTTTTCTTTTTAATGCCTGCTTTTAAAAAATGAAAAAGGGGGAATTTGCCGGGAGCCTGTCCATGCTTGCTGTTTCAAGGGACCTGGCACATATGGCATACTGTTCTTAATATGTTTGCTCACCTTCTTGGCACTATGTGTTTTAACCAAGGTCTCCTCTCTGAGAAAGGTTGTTTCCCCAGGTAGGGATTTTCCCCTGAAGTTAAGGTGGGAATAAAACCTCTTAACTAGTGCCAGGTGGGTAATTAATCACTTTAACTAGGAACAATCATGCTTAAGCTACATAATCTTTACTCCCTGGAATGAAGATAAGAAACGCCCTAACCTTTGTAATAGAGATTGATAGGATTGAATCAACTGGTATAAATACAGATGCAATAAGACAGCAAGAGACAGAACTAGAGACAGAAGAACTTCGCTGGAGAGAACATGGCAAAAGATCCTGGACTGAACCTGACTACAGAAATGGGCAAGAGAACCTGACTAGAACCTGGTGACTGAACCTGGCTGGAGAACCTGGACAGAACCTGGCTGGAGAACCTGGAGAACCTAGCAAGAGAACATGGCTACAGAACCTGGCTGGAGAACCTGGAGAACCTAGCAAGAGAACATGGACACAGAACCTGGCTGGAGATCCTAAGCAGAACTTCGCTGGAGATCCAGACCCGAACTTGGCTGGAGATCCTGGCTAGAGATCCTGGCTAGGCTGCTGATCAACTGAACACTGCCTCCATGTCCTTCCTTCTTCGCCGACTCTGTCTATACCTTTGGGGACCCCTGGACCTGCTGGGGTTGGACCCCGGCACATAGCAGTTACTCAATAAGTACCTATAGAATGACCACCTATCGAGACAAATAAGCAGATAATTTCATGTTACCACCAATTTGTTCGCTTTTCAAAACTAAGAGCTCAGTAGGGTCTGCAGGGAAACAAATTTCATGAAGTGAAAGGTATCCAGGTATTTATTGGGACAATGCAGTCTGTCCGTAGGTTATTTTCATTCTTTTTTAAAATTCATTGATTTGAGAGAGAAATCCTCGATTTGTCCACCCATTCAGGCATTCATTGGTTGCTACCTGTATGTGCCCGTACCCTGGTACAATGCCCTAACCCAACTGAGCTACCTGGCTAGCACGATTTTCATTCTTAATTTTACAGGTTCTTATGCTACTTCTGCACCATATTGTTAACATATGACAATTAAGAATGCCAAATGGAGAAACTCTAGATCTCTTTACATAAAAGACTACTAATTTCACATATCTTTGGTTCCAAAAGTATTTATTAGCATTTACCTTGTGCCCAACACGGAGAGGTATTTGAAATACAACTATCAGCCCTTTAGAAACTTAGATTCTGATCTGTTCATAAAAATGTGTCCAGAAACACCTAGACTCCCTTTCTCTATGAGTTCATCTCATGACTTGTCAATTGTCCCAAACTTCTAAAAATTGTTACTCAAATCTTTCCCAGTAGAGGCACACAGGCGTCACCTGGTGGCCAGTAAGATCAACTGCAGGCTGAGATGCCAGCTTTTAGAACCGTCGGACTCCAGCCTATTTTCCTGCACAATCCTGGAGAAAGAAAAGTGGAGGAAATAGGACTTGCTTGTAAATAGCTGGGCTCAGATTCCCTCCCGCCTCCCACTGGCCACCAGAAGGACTTGCGATGCAGTGGAGAACACTGCCACACCCTGCAGAGGGAGGGTGGGGTTGACTGCTCACCACACGCTGATTTAGATGATTGTGTTGGTGGCTTGTTTTAATATAATTACAACAATACTGCACATTTTAAAATAAAATTAAATAATGTGGACGTGTAAAAAGCAAAGTTCAAAATTGTCTCACCGCTTACCCAGTCACCTAAGCGCTGTGTTTACACTGTGGACCTGTTTTTAGAAGAGGCCTGCGGGAGGTGTCTTCGTGCCAAATTAGTAGGAAACTGGAGAAAACAATGCCGCAGGAAGCACCATCTGCCACATTTCCTCAGTTGTAGAAACGTCTCAATAAATCTAGAAATTCCCCCCATGAGCTTTCACAGATCCAAAATGTGTAACAACTGACATATATCAATACATACCACATTTCAAACTCCATGCTATTAAAACCGTACCCTGTAAAGGCGATGTGTAGCACACTGTCACCCTCACTACTTCTTTTTTACTAGTTTGTTCCTCATCTGGTTGAGACTTCCTAAGCCCCAAATCAATGTCACCCTATAAATGGGGTTAGTCGTCCGATAAAGCAAGTCACTCAATGGGTCTGTGTCTGAATTTTTCGCCACTAGGTGGTGCCGCCGCATCTGAAGATCAGTTAACTGGCGTTCAGGTAGGAAAAGTCGGGAGTTGATTTTCACGTGGAGCTTTTCATCATTTCTCTGGCCCTAAGCGTGTGTGCACCTCTGTGGTGAGTCTACACAGTTCTCTCCTTTTACTGCTTGGTACTGCTGAGGGGTCCTGGTTTTGGCTGAGGAAGGTCACCAGAGGATACTCCCTCAGCATTCCATCACCGTGTTCTTTTTCTTTATGCCTCTTACTGATTGTGTGTCACTGACATTCCTGCACTCCACTCTGACTCTCTTACATATTTTTTTAAAAAAATAATATATTTCTATTGATTTCAGAGAGGAAGGGAGAGGGAGAGAGATAGAAACAACAATGATGAGGGAGAATCATTGATCGGCTGCCTCCTGCACGCCGCACACTGGGGATTGATCCTGCAACCTGGTCATGTGCCCTGATAGGGAATTGAACCGTGACCTCCTGGTTCATAGGTCAGTGCTCAACCACTGAGCCACACCGGCCGGGCCAACGCTCTTACATCTTAAATTCAGTCCAGGCCTTGGCCCCGCAGCCTGAGAATGATCTGGGCCAGGAGAGCTCCAGCTACTGGGGCATCTGTAAGTGTTCTTCTAGTTCTGCTGTGAAGCCACAGTTACGCCTCTGTGTTCCTTCGTGAAATAAGCCTCTACTATGACACCAGATGCTTGGCGACAGAAATAAATAACACCAAGTTCCTGTCCTCAGCGACTCTCATTAGAGTGGGGAAGATAAATGCAGAAAGAGGTGATAAAAACCAGGGCCAGTGCAGTGATTGGCATTCGCCTGGGGTGTTCTGCAAACTCTAAGAGGGCCACTTAGCCTATAGGAGGGTTGGGTGGCAATGGAGTGTTATGCGAGGCTCCCGGAGGGGGACTCTAGGCTGTCTTAAAGATGAGTCGTGTTTAATCAGGTGGAGAGGGGAGGAAATGAACTAGATGGAGGGAACAGCATGAACTAGAATTCTCTGTAAACAACAGTAACTACTAAGGAAGACAACAGGTACGCTTATTCCATTTGGGCACCAACAGATGGTTCTGCCAACTTCCTAAATAAGAAATGATTCAAGCCCTAACCGGTTTGGCTCAGTGGATAGAGCGTCAGCCTGGGGACTGAAGGGTCCCAGGTTCGATTCTGGTCAAGGGCATGTACCTTGGTTGCGGGCACATCCCCAGTAGGGGGTGTACAGGAGGCAGCTGATAGATGTTTCTCTCTTATCCATGTTTCTAACTCTCTATCCCTCTCCCTTCCTCTCTGTGAAAAATCAATAAAGTATATTTTTTAAAAAAGAAATTATTCAAATACCATGAAATTTCATCAAATTCGCTGCATCTTTAAACGCACGATGCTTGATTTATCTCATAATGACAAAGAAATATGTAAGTCTGTCTCTGCTTCAAACTTAACTGTTGTGGGGTACATATTAGGCAGCTTACTGATAAAGGAAATGTTAGGAGCTGATTTTTTTCTTTTTCCTTTTGTTAGGAGTTGAATTTGATGAGAACAAAAAACATGAACTTCCTGTGTTCTAGGTCACCACCTTCTATCCTCTTTCCTTCTTCGAAGTACTTGTACGAGTCTTTTGTCCCCTATGCGTTTGTCTCCAATTTTCTACCTCTGTGAATTAATAAAGTTTTTCCTTTCATTGGCTCCGTTTTAATGCAATTTTTCCAGGTAAAGAAAATAAACACATTTTCTCATTTTATTTTTAATTGGAAGCCCCAAATTGATCTGTCACCCTTAAAAATGGGGTTAGATGTCCAATGAAGAAAATCACTCAATGGGGCTATGTCTTTTTTCACCACTAGATGGTGCTGCCACACCTGAAGATAAAACAGGGCCAGTTAGCTTCAGAGGGACAAAAAAACACACATGCTCTTAGATAAGGCCATAGTGTTTTTTTAACCAGCTTTTAAAAAATATACATTTTAGGAAAACATCTTCCATATTAGAAGAGGAACACTTTTTTAAAAACCATAGTCTTGAGAGAGACTGAGAGGGAAATTAACATTTTTACTAATATTTCCTAGACGTGAAATCTTAGATGAGCTATTTAACTTTTCCGAGCCTCAGTTCTCTATAAGATAATGAAAATAAAAACTATATTTTATATTTTATAGAAGTTAAATATTTACTACATATCTCACAGGGGTATATAATGGATGCATAAAAATGCTAAGAATGACAACGTTAGAATATATAGGCTTTTAAGATGATCACTTCAAAGGTTAATATAATTTCTGGTATGAGTAGTTTGTGTTTTTATTTTTTGTAAACCCTCACCTGAGGATATTTTTCCATTGATTTTTAGAGAGAGTGGAAGGGAGGGGGAGTGACACAGAGAGAGGAACATCAATGTGAGAGAGACACATTGATTGGCTGCCTCCCACATGCACCCCGACAAGGGCTGGGGATAGAAGCTGCAACCAAGGTACGTGCCCTTGACCAGAATCTAACCCTGGACCCTTCAGCCTGCCAACGCTCTGTCCACTGAGCCAAACCTGCTAGGTCTGGCAGGAGTAGTTTAAAAGTGAATTTTAATGACTTCTTACTCCCTCCCATCCACATCTGACTTGAGTCGTAATGGAGTAGGAGTGTGTGTGTGTGTGTGTGTGTGTGTGTGTGTTCAAGTGAAGCAATGACTGTGGGTTTATTTTCTTTCAATTGAAAATGGTTATGTGTGAAAGTGCTCTGCATACTGCAAAGTGTCTGGAGTCCATGACCCATCTGAACCACCATCTCTGAGGAGAGGGGCCCGGATCGCGTGCACTCAGCAGGTCACATCACAGGCACTTGTGGGCGCGTCTGGCCGGCTCACGCGGATTACCCTCCTGTGGAAATTGTCTGGGGTCCTCAGAGGCTGTGTGTTTTCACTGAGACGCTGCCCCCAGGCCCGATTATTCAGTTCTCCGAGTTCCATGAGGAACCACAGCATTCCTGTGCTAAATCCCTTAACCTGCTCACCTCCGCTTCGCTTGGAGTCTTCACTCCCGGCCAAATGAACCGTAACGAATGCAGCAAAGTGAAGCGATGCATTACGTTCATAGCGCCAGGCTATCTCTTAGGGATGGAACTGTTTTTTTGCCTAAGAAAAATACCTTGAAAAGTAGCTTAGAATTTCTGGTAAAATTCCTCGGCCATAACTCACAGGAGAGAGCTGAGCGTCACGGAAGTAATGGGCAGGTTTGGGAGAGCAGGTGTTGAGTGATTGTTGCCACGGGGGGGGGGGGGGGGGACAGGATGCGTACGCAGTGCCGACACCCACAAGCTAGACAATTCAGAGCTGTGGGGGCACATGGAGAAGATTTAAACCCGTTTTATTCCAAAGGCTACTTCTGACCTTGGAATGACACAAATGTTCACAAATGAATTTTCGGGTTTAAAACCACCAGTCATTATTTTATTGTCACAGCTTACTGTCACCTTGCTAGATTTTTCCCCTCCTAAACTTTCCACTTCAGTGGAACTCCTTAGTCATGGCCTCAGTCATCCCCTCGCTGACAGGCCGAGTCTGTTGGGCCCGCACAGGTGACAGGTGCTCAGCACCTTGAGCATCTTCTAGGCACCGACTTTGAGAGTTGAACGTCGCCCAGCTTCCTGGGTCTTAAGGTCTAGCGGGAGGGGTAGGGTATTTACGGCAGCAGCAAATAAGCCGTGTGAAAGTGTGACCAGCGCCATCAGGGAATCTGCTGGGAGCCGGTCCATGCTTGCTGTTTCAAAGGACCTGGCATATATGGCATACTGTTCTTAAAATATTTTCTCACCTTCTTGGCACTATGTGTTTTAACCAGGGTCTCCTCTCTGAGAAAGGTTGTTTCCCCAAGTAGGGATTTTCCCCTGAAGTTAGGGAGGGAATAAAACCTCTTAACTAAGTGCCAGGTGGGTAATTAATCACTTTAACTAGGAACAATCATGCTTAAGCTACATAATCTTTACTCCCTGGAATGAAGATAAGAAACGCCCTAACCTTTGTAATAGAGATTGATAGGATTGAATCAACTGGTATAAATACAGATGCAACAAGACAGCAAGAGCCAGAACTCAGAACACAGAATGAAGAAGACAGAACTCAGAAGAAGGAACCTACACACACAGAAGAACTTCGCTGGAGAGAACATGGCAAAAGATCCTGGACTGAACCTGACTACAGAAATTGGCAAGAGAACCTGACTAGAACCTGGTGACTGAACCTGGCTGGAGAACCTGGACAGAACCTGGCTGGAGAACCTAGCGAGGGAACATGGCTACAGAACCTGGCTGGAGATCCTAAGCAGAACTTCGCTGGAGATCCAGACCAGAACTTGGCTGGAGATCCTGGCTAGAGATCCTGGCTAGGCTGCTGATCAACTGAGCGCTATCTCCGTGTCATTCCTTCTTCGCCGACTCCATCCACACCTTTGGGGACCCCTGGACCTGCTGGGGTTGGACTCCAGCAGGAATCGCACAGGACGTGGCTGTAAGAAACAGGCCGAGCGGCCTCTTCTCGATACGGCGCTGGAGGAAAATGTTTTTGTGATCATGGTATCTCCCCTGCCAGGTAAGTATGGAAAATGTTTTTGAGAGCGTGAGAGGCAGCCAGGTACGGACGGAGAGTCACAGGTGAGAAGAGGAAGGCGTGAGGGCTCTGAGGTGGCAGAGACCTGTCCTATGGGAGAGCCAGGAGCTGCCTTTCGGAAATGCAGCCAAGAGGAGAGGCGTATGGTGTGGAGCTGGTACGGGAAGCCCTTGGCAGAAATGTTCCTATTTTAAAAAATATATATTTTTATTGATTTCAGAGAGGAAGGGAAAGAGAGAGAGAGAGAAACATCAATGACGAGAGAGAATATTGATTGGCTGCCTCCTGCACGCCCCACACTGGGATCCAGCCTGCACCCGGGCCTGTGCCCGGACCAGGAATCAAACAGGCGGCCGATCGGTTCACTCAGCCGCTGAGCCGCTATTCTGACGGGCCCTGCAATCGCCCCCTCAGGTACGGGATGGACAGACACGCTTCCTACCTCCGGCCGCTTCCTCCCTGCGTTTTCCATAACGAGGCCAGGCCTGGGGAGCTGACCTCACAGAGCGTGGTCCCTGCTCTTTGCGCGAAGCTGGCCCTTGCTGGGCCGTGCTGTGAAGTGCATAAGAGCCGCCGCCTCACCGCACACGTCCCTGCACCGGGGCTGCCAGGGGAGCTGGGGTCCGACTCGGCCTCGCTCCTCTGTTTCCAGAAGCCGCCTGTGAACGCCGACCTCCTGTGTTCTAGCCACACCTCGTGGCCCATGGCAGCGCTGAACACGAGAATAATCGGGGCGGGGGGGGGGGGGGGGGGAAGGGCAGCTGCAAGGGGCTCCCCTTTCCCGCGGAAGGAACACATTATCAGCAGCCGAAACCAAAGTCGTACCAAGCGGAAGTTAAAGGGACCCTCTGGCTATGACAATAACTCATTGATGGAGAGGATGTTGGTTAACTTTTATTGCAATGCCACAATAGTTGGCTTGCAGGAAAGCAATGGTATTAAAATGCTCACGTTACCAAAAAGAAGCCCTGTTTTTCATGCTGGGAATGAATGCTCTGACCACTTCCTCAGGGCTGCCCTGGATGCCTAGGATCTGATGACTGGGGGCGGCAAAGGGTTTCAGATGCTAATCAAGAAAGATGGCCCTTCTCCAAAGCAGTAGTGATCTGGGCAACACTTCATGGGGGGGGGGGGGGGGCTCATTTTCCCATCCACGTAAGGAGGGGCTCAGGCTAGATGTTTTCTGAGACCTCCTCCAGTCCTAACTCTGAGGATGGAAGGACAGCGGAGTGAAATAGGAAAGAAATGGGGCAGATGGGATTCGGCAAAGCTGGGTGTGAGTTCTGGCTTCATCACATCATAGTTGTGAGATTCGGAGAACAATGCTTAGCCTTTCTAATCTCAGATTTCTCATCTCTAAAATGGAATGGTGAAAATATTACACGACTTTCTTACATCCGGTGAAGGTTTACATGTTTAAACTTTGTAAAACTCTGAGGCTCAGTATAAATGTGAGTTTTGTCACTATAGTTACGATGACGAAAATAAAAATAAATAGTACCAACCAATACCCGTTTATTATTTTAAAGCATGTGAATATGTCTCTTCATCTTCACAACAACCCTATAGGATAGTACATGACAATCCCCACTTCCCAGAGGGGAAAACTGAGGCAGAGGACACGAAATGGCACGACCAACCAAGAGGCCGGGTTCGTGGCAGGAGTCAGAAGGCCCCAGGGCAAAGCTTGGCTTCTGCATCAGCTCTAGTCCTTAAAACTTGATGTGAAGGGACCTCAGAGATTTAATGTGACCACAGATGATGGGTAGTCCTACTCTTCAAACTTCTTCAGTCATTTTTCTGAAAAACTTAGCTCGGCCAGCATGGCTCAGTGGTTGAGCATCGACCCATGAACCAGGAGGTCACAGTTCAATTCCTGGTCAGGGCACATGACCAGGTTGCAGGCTCAATCCCCAGTGTGGGGCGTGCAGGAGGCAGCCGGTCAATGATTCTCTCATCATTCATGTTTCTATCTCTCTCTCCTTCTCCTTTCCTCTCTGAAATAAAAAATAAACAAACAAACAAATAAATAAAAACCTATTCAGGGAGGTAAAATGATCCCAAATGATTCATGTAGTCACAATCCTGCATCA